ACTCCCTCTGATTCAGGAGCTCATTAATAAGATACATACATCTAGGGTTTTCACTAAGTTGGATGTTTGATAGGGATACAATAATATTTGGATCTAAGACAGAGATGAGTGGAAGACTGTGTTCTGAACTAATCACAGATTGTACAAACCAACTATAATGTTCTTCAGACTAACTAACTTGCCTACAACATTCTAGTCATTCATAAATCACATCCTTACAGATCTGATTAACTTAGAGTATGTTAGTGTATATCTAGACAACATTCTGATCTTTACTCAGACAGTTGAGCACTATTACCAACTGATCCAAGTAGTTCTACAACAGCTCCAAGATAATAAACTGTTTCTCTAAGAAGTAAAGTACTCTTTTACACAGGAGTTAGTAGATTATCTAAGCTTTGTGATTGGTGGAGGAGAGGTCTGTATGGATCCAGCAAAGGTAACTGTAGTTTGGAACTGGTTACAACCTTAGAACCTGAAACAGGTCCAAGTGTTTCTTAGGTTTGTAAACTACTACTAATACTTCATTTGAGGCTTTAGTACTATTACCCAGCCCCTTTATAATCTTACTAGCAAAGATGTTCCTTAGTAATAGGATGATTAGTAGCAGTCTGTGTTTGAGTCCCTCAAGTAGGCTATTACTAGCAAGCCTGTATTAGTAGTTCTAACAGTTGTAGACAAGTTCTGAGTCAAAGCTGACTCTTCTGACTTTACAAATAGAGTAGTACTGTCCTAGTTCATTGATAGAAAGTAGTGTCTGATAGTGTTCTGATTAGAATCCCTCTCTGTAACAGAACAGAACTACTCTATCTATAACAAGGAACTCCTTACAATTGTCTGTTCCTTAGAAGAGTAGTGTTAATATCTCCTTAGTGTAGTACAGAAGTTTAAGATTTGGAGTGATCACCTTAATCTCTAGTACTTCCAGGCACCTCAGAAGCTCAACTACTACTAAGCCTACTAGATGTTAGAACTGTAGGACTATGACTTTGTACTGACTCACAAGTCTGGAACACAAATGACAAAAGCTAATTTACTCTCAAGACAAGTAGACTATGAAAGGGGGGAGAATGATAACAAAAATCTTGTTCTCCTAGACAATTCCTATTTTGTGTTCAAGACAATCCAAGAGATCCAACTTGAATCCAAGGATGTTAACTTTGTCACCTGTATACAGTAAGCTCTGAGACACACACAGGACTAGGTTATAGTAAAGTAACTAGAGAAGCAGGCTAGGGATTAGGAGGAGGATAAGGATGGACAGGTTTACTAGGAAGGCTGACTGTACATTCTAAAGGATTGGAAACTGTAGGAGGACATTGTCCAAGCTTATTACAACAATCCAACTGTAGGACATTCAGACTGACACAAAACACAGGAACTTATTATTTAGAACTACTAGTAGCCTAGAATATAGAGGGAAATTCTAAAGTATGTGACTGGTTGTAATACATGCTAACAAACTAAGGCCCACCAGACAAGAGTTCAGACTCTCCTACATTTGTATTAGATCCCAGATCACTCTTGGGAAGAAGTCTTAGTAGACCTGATTAGTAAGCTACCTAAGTCTTAGAGTTATAATACTATCTGTATGATTGTCAACTGATTCTCTAAGCAAATCCATACAGTTCTGACCTAAACAGAACTCACTTCTGAAGGTATAGTGTGTATTTATTAGGATCATGTCTTCCAGTTACACAGACTCCCTTAGAAGCTCATTCATGATTGTAGACTGTAATTCAAGTCAAAATTCATGTAGGACTTGTATGTGCTTCTCAGAATTCAAGGGAACCCTTCTACTACCTATTACCTGTAGACTGACAGTTAAACTAAGCAAGTCAATCAGGAGATTAAGCTCTACCTCTAGATGTTCATCAATCATTGACAATCAGATTGGTTTGAATGGTTAGCTCTGACAGAATTTGTACACAATAACTAGTAACACTCTGTAACAGGACAGTCCCTGTTCTTCCTCAATCATAGGAGACATCTATACCAGGGGACAGTTCTAAACTAGAATGACAGTTCTGAATCTGTAACAGACTTTGCAGAATGGATGTACAGAACCAGGGAGGATGTACAAGCTCTTTTGGAAAAGGTAGTACAGGTCATAAAGTAGAACTATGATTAGAAGAGGTCTGTAACTAAGGATTACCAGTCTGGTGACAAAGTTATACTAGAAGCTACTAACCTGACTATGGATTGTCTAATAAAGAAGTTGGACAATAAGTGCTTCAGACCCTTTGTTATTAAAAAGAAGGTTAGCACCTCTGCTTACAAACTCTAACTTCTAACAACATAGAAGTGTATACACTTAGTGTTTAACAAGGTTCTACTGTCTTAGTACTACAATCCAGGTTTTCCTTCACAACAAAGACCCCTACTGTCTCTACCAGAACTTATCAGTTCCAAACTAGAATACAAAGTAGAGTACATAGTAGATACTAAGCTACTGTACAGAAAACTCAAATTCCTTGTTTACTAGAAAGGGTACCTAGTTGAGGAGCATACTTGGGAACCTGCTGAGAACCTCACCCATACTCCTAAAACAATCCAAGACTTCTATCAGCTTCATCCTAGTACTCTGTACAAACTCAGCCTTACAGATTTCTAAGCCTTACTATTCTGACCTATACCTAAGCTACTGACCAAGCCCTATGTTCACTAATCAGAATGATTGGTTTTAGAGGGAGGGTGATGTTATGACTCTCTGCTCCTGTACCTTCAGTTCTAAGGGTTCTACACCCTTCTGTACCAGAACTCAGGACTTCTATCCTTTAGGAGTACTGTTTATAGACTATATGTGTACTGACTCTTACTACTACCCTTCCTTACTTCATCATTCCATTCCTTTGACCACTCCTTTATTCTCTGTTCATTCTATAGTCTCTTACCCTTTGTCTATCCCTTCATTCTTTGTACCTTTATCTTTGACATTCCTTTCTTTCATTCTTCATAGCTTATCATTCTTAGTAGTTTATACTTCCTGAGTACTCTTGTGTAGTTTAGTATATATAGGTGTACAAGATCAGACTGGTCCTGTAGTCTTGATCTTGTCTACTCTAGGTAGTCCTATACTCTTAGGCTCACTCTATATACTCTACTCTTGTCTCACTCTCTCTCTCCACCTGTTCTACAAGTTCTGACTATGTTCTAGTACTTACATTCTGTATTTCTGTTGTGTAGGATAGTTGTAGCCTGGGTCCCCTTACTGAGCCTTCAGGTCCCCTCTACACTGTTGCTGACAACTTCTATATTAATTACTAACAGTAGGGTTAGTAGGCTCAGCTCTTATAGGTCTGGTTCTGTATTATAAATATGGTAAACACTTCTATAGAATATTCCCTGTTCTAACTATGTTATAAATGCTTACTATAGACAGTTCTACCATTTACACAACTAGAACAACTGTAAGTAGATTCTCTAGAAGTACAAGTATTAGAATTCCTAGCCTGTATACATTAGAATGTTACAAAGGCACAAGACACCCTTCTAGTAGCTAAGACCTGCTAGGTACATTATACAAATCAAGACTATACTACTAAAGATTGTTTCACAGTAGGAGACTAAGTTATACTCACTACTCACAATTACTACTAGGACTATCTTGTACAAATGTTAGAACACATTACAAAATTCATACCTTACTATAATAGACTGTACTTTATTATTATAGTAAACTCAGACAAGTTAGAATACACTTTAGAGCTACCTGACTCTAATCAGACCTTTCTAGGATTCTATACAAGCTAACTCAAGTATTATATCCTAAATAATAATATACTCTTTCTACAACATACTCTCAATTGACTAGGTCTGGTAGAAGGAGAGGAGAAGGTTTACAAAGTATTACACATTGTAGACACAAGGTGTAGAGACTGAGGTTAGTAGTATTTGGTAGAATGGGTAGGATAGGGTGAACAGGGACAAGAATAGAAGGTACAGTCAGAGCTTCAGAGGTCAGCCTCTAAAGTTCTACAGGCCTGGTTAACTTTGCATCCTTATAAGAGTACCATTTTTTAGAGAGAGGAGGAGTGTAAGCCTACCTAACAGCTTACAACAGTTTCTACACAGTTCTGTAGTACAGAACTGTGGATCCTGTATGTAGGTTCTTATAGTAGCTTACTGAGCTACACACTTTTCCTACATGCTTGTATTAAGTCCCCCTTTTGTTATAACCACTTTCCCTACATTTCTAAATACATACTATCCCCTTTTGTCTTCCTCTTTAAGTATACATTATGTTCCCCTCTTTTGTTCCCCTTTTATTTTCCCCTTTAGGTATGGACCATTTCCTTAGTATATATAGTTAGTATTCTTTACCTTTATTGTATTAGTTTGTATTTCTGACTATAACAAAGGTGAGTCCTTCATTAGTACATGTATCAGTTTGTATTTCTAACTACAATAAAGATACCTTTGTCCTGTCAGCCTTTGTATGTTGCTACAAACTTGGAACTCATTCACAACAGTGTTTCACACTTCCCTAGTACTGTTCCATGTATTTGAAAAAATATTATCAAGTGTACTATAAATGTATAGGCAGATCAAAAATATAGAGTACACACTACAAGTTCAGAGTAATACTCTAGTTGCTTAATTTACATAGCTTGCTCAATCCAGTCAAAAGGCAAAGTGTATAATTGCCTTTACAACATATAGTGTGTAATAAGCTAAGTACTACAAGATTGTTTTATTCACACTCTTATTTTTGTACTGAGAATATGCTAACATGTATAAGAGTACAGATACTACTAATATTAATATGTACTATATAGTTCTTGCTCTAATCTTATAAAGGTGTAATTAAAGTAGGTATTAGGCACTCTTTATAAAAACATACTAAAAGTCTGCATTTAAACATACTAATGTATTCAATATTAAAGGACAGGCTTGTTACTAACTACTAGGCAAAACTGTCCAACTTGTTTTACAATATATCTGCCCCCTTTCCAAGATACTAGTGATTCTGTAAAACAAGCATTGTTTTGAGCTTTACCCTAGTTATTGTCACTTGATGCCTGGAGCTTAGTCACTACTATGTCGATCGCGTCCATATGGACTCTTGTCCCTTGGAGAACGTTTGCCGTCACCGGCAAATCGGATTGTACGTTCTCGCCCTCTGTATTTTTGTTCATCCTCTGTTCAAGCAGTAAAAAAATTGTGTCGTGTGAGTAAGTTCAACAGTTCTAATATGACAGTTGGACACACCAATATCTTTTGCTTGCAATATTGGCTCCAGTTGTCTCTTGAGATTTCCTGTTTTGTCAAGCGCATCTGCCAAGTCGTAGAGGGCCTGAGAACGTTTGGCTGGTATTGCTGGTATTCTTCCTTGGCGTCCTCCAGTACCTCCGTCAAATCTTTGGTAATCGGCTGTCAGGATATTCATCAGTGTTAATGCAATCAAGTCATTCAGGCATTGTAGTACCTCTAGCCTTGTACCCGTGATCCTTGTGGGAATCTATTGATACTGTACACACGTAGAATACATCTTCACCAGAATTTGTATCTTTCAGAGAACAATAAATGTGCCTCAACAACAAAAAATTGAGGAAAATGAAATGCATACAGTTAAATATTGTCTGAATCTCTTGAGGTACTTCAGCATGGCTCTCATTATCGTAGGTCTTGGTCTTCCAACCCATTTTCTTTACAGTGCTCTCAGTGTGGAGGAATGTGTAATGTTGCTCAGTCTCAGTATCTGGTACCATATAATATAGTGTTGGCCTACCAGTTCTACAACATTGATAATAACATTGCTCCATCAGATGTGAATACTCAAAAGGCAACTTGGCATCAACTACTATACATAGTTACTTTCTAACATTGTAAATTATGTAATAATATTTTGCACGTCTACATGCACCCAGAATAGAATAGCCCTTCTTGTACATCTGATTTTGAATCAGAATTTATATTGCAACACCAACTACTAAGACAATGTAACCCTTCTGGGAACCTTGCTACAGCCAAAATGCTCTAAGGATAGACTCAAGCAAAGTTTATCTGTTAAGATAGGTTATGCTCAGAGGGAATCACACAGTATAGGGGTTCAGTGGACTCTACTCTTGTTTGTTATAGGTGTGTGTCAAGTTTGGTGAGCATCATTGTCTGTTGATTGAGTAGATATATATACTATGTAGCTATGTCTCAGGTACATCCATTGCTTATATGTGTCATTCCATATATATGCTATTTCCATATATGTTAACATAGGTTATGCTCAGAGGGAATCCCACAGTATGAGGGTTCAGTGGACTCTGCTCTCGTTTGTTGTAGGTGAGTGTCAAGTTTGGTGAGTGTCATTGTCTGTTGATTGAGTAGATATATATACTATGTAGCTATGTCTCAGGTACGTCCGTTGCTTATATGCATCATTCCATATATATGCTATTTCCATATATGTTAACATTATCTGAGATTAGTATTCTCATTTTGGGGTATAGTCAAATTATACCTGTATACTGCTTCACGTAGCACGCGTTAAGCAAAAAAAACAGGTCATGTATGTTGGTGAGGTCACTGTTTACACGACACGACATAGTATTATTAAAGCTCGACGCGTCGGACGCGTTTGTATCACGTGTTTGAGAACACCCAATGAGATGTTGAATTCAAGATTTTCCGACAAAGTGACTATTGACTCAAGCACTCTGACGTCGACAACATTGACTTTTGCGACGACCGCATCACAGTTGTTCTGCCTTGACTTTCTAAGGCCATACTTTCTTGTCCTGCATTTACTGCTCAATTGAAAAGTAGTCATTCTGGATGAAGCCTTCCCTTGGTGGCCTCGTCTCGTTTGTTGGAGCGTCTCGCCCAACCTTCAGCAGGCCTCGACAAAGTCCAATCACAGACCTTCGGTGTATGTCAACGGCATCCTCAAGGACAAGGATACCACGATGTTTTCCCGGATTGTTGGATGTGAAATGCAACACCTCGTCGAGGTGTTTAGTAATGCCTATTCTGCGTAAGGACTTAGGGCGGAGAGGACTGCACGCTACAAGCGGTACGTTATCGAGACTCTTCATTTCGTGCATCTCATCTTACTGAGCTCAGCCGTGTTACTTCCTTGTAGCTCGATGGCACGGTGGGATTAATCGACCAGAACCTGGAAGTGGGTACGTATATACATACTGTACCATACCAAGCTTTCTTCTGTATCGCTTACAACCTACTTTCTTCACACTACGACAGAATCAAAGTCCACTTCAAAGACTCAAAAGGCAACCATCTCAAAACTGTCGAAGCGAACGAGGGGGACGACATCCTCGCCATAGCACACGAGTATGATATCGACTTAGAGGGTGCCTGCGAGGGCTCGATCGCATGTTCAACATGTCACGTCATCCTCACTCCAGAGCATTACGATATGTTACCTGAACCCAGCGACGATGAGAATGATATGTTAGATATGGCATTCGGTCTGACGGATACAAGTAGGTTAGGGTGTCAGGTACGTTTGATTCCGTCCTAAAATTTCTTTCTTTCAGAATGTGGCTAAACCAAGAACATTTGAATTGTGTATAGGTAAAATTAACGAGAGACTTGGACGGTATTACGTGCACATTACCTGCAGCAACGCGAAATATGTATGTTGATGGTATGTACTATACTCCGTCTACGTTAAGCACGGCTGATTTCTGTTTAAAATGGACCAGGAGCAAAATCCTCGCATTAATTATTAAATTCGACCATTTGTTGTCAATCTCTCTCTATAATCAACCCCAGTCAAGATGTCTACATACGTGTGTTAATACCTAATCGAGGATGTGCATTGTTTCCGAGCACTATGTCAACAAAAGAATGTGAAACAAGCGCCGAGTTCAATAAAAGTAGCGCATTCACAGATACACACAGGGAAATGGTAACATGCTGGTCGTTCATAATCCATTAAAATAGCATGACAATATTATAGCGTGCTTGATCATTCCTCTGCTAAGATTGTCTTTTATATACTTTTCTGCAGGTATGTGTTGCAGAAGCATCGCATCATCACACAAGGCTGGAGCGGTATGCTCGCTGGGCGAGCAGTCGAGGATGAATGCGCATAAGCAATCACTTATGTCACAGCTGGGAAGCAAGATTTAGAATTTATTTTAGTCAATCCGTCATGAACAGACTTACTGTATTTCGGTCCTCCTCCCCCCTCCGGGACAGTCCAGGTAATATCTTGCGTTGGCACCTTGACGTCACAAAGCTTGCAGTGTATACAGTTCTAAATTTTCGAATGCCGTATCAGTATCTTATTCCCCCGTTCAAATAGAACAACCAAAGACCCCTTACTTGCGAGTTAATGACAAACCTCTTTCCTGCAAATCCACCCCTTTCCTCCTTCCCTTCCGGCCCCTCTTCGTCGACATATTCATATACAGCGGCAGGACACGCCCTTCCGAGTAACCCCGCATATTCACTCACGTTCGTCTTGACATGTTCTGTCCGTGCTTTGTTACCGGGTGGCAAGCGAAGATGTACAGGCTGGTCTTCGGTGTGATTGGTACCTGTAAGTGCGACGGCTGTGAGGATGTCAGTTGAGAGTGGTGGTTTCGGAGGTGGGTAGTCGATCGGTTTGCATTCGCTGAATATCTGGTCAGCTTTGGGTAAGAAGATGAATTTGAAACTGTCCTTTTTACCTTGCGTGTTTTGTGTGTTGCGCGTCGGTCATTTTGGATTTGTTTCGGAACGTCCAAGGCGTACGTCCCTTCAAGATAAGAGAGTCAAATCCAGAGTACACGATACCTCCCCAGATCCCGAGAGAAGTGTTGAAACTCGGACGAAGGTTCCGCACTTCCATCAAATCCTGCCATACCCAGCTATTACGCAACGCAGTATCGTAAGAATTCATATCAATGGCAGTTTCCTTTGTCTCTTCCCTATCGCTGTTCTCTATTGTACGGAACGCCGATTCAGCGGCGATCATCCCGCTCTTCATCGCGTTATGCGTGCCCTTAATCTTCGCGACATTGACGAAACCAGCTGAACATCCAATAAGTGCACCACCAGGGAATGCAAGGCGTGGAACAGATTGGATCCCACCCTCGTTAAGTACTCGCCCACCATATGCGATTCGCTCTCCGCCAGTGAGGAGGTCTGCGAAGAGTGGATGATGTTTCATTCGTTGTAACTCACGGAACGGGCTGAGATATGGATTTGCGTAGTCAAGCCCAATGACGAGTCCAAGCGAAACAAGACCACCGTCCATATGATATATCCAACCACCACCGTATGTTCGCCAGTCAAGCGGCCACCCCATAGTGTGCACGACTTCTCCTGGCCTGTGTTTCGAAGGATCAACGCGCCAGACTTCCTTCACTCCCATCCCGTATGTTTGCGGGTCCGCATCTTTGCGCAAATCAAAGTGTTTGATGACTTGCTTAGACAATGATCCATGTGCACCTTCGGCAAGAAGTGTCACTTTCGCTTTGAACGCCATCCCCGGCTCGAAGGAATCTTTCATGCGGAACTCGCGATCTAATCCTACGTCATTGGTGATTACACCCTGTAGGGCTTTCTTGTCTTCGGAATAGATTACTTGAGCACCGCCAAAGCCCGGATAGACTTCAACACCAAGTTCTTCCGCTATTGAGCCTAACCATGCAGTGAATCTTGATAACGATACAATATAATTTCCCTTGTTATTCATTTGTGGCGGATGTGGGATTGGGATCGCCATTGAACTAGTAAGGAAGCGCATAGAAGACGACGAAGCAGGTTGCATTAGTGGATGGCCATCCCGTCCTTGCCAGTCCGGTAGTAACTCGTTCAAAGCTCGCGGTTCAATGACAGCACCGGAAAGAATATGTGCACCTACAACTTGCGCGTCAGGATTATACTGAGATGACATCGCTGGTTACTTACCGACCTCACTGCCCTTCTCAAGTACGACAACGCGTAGCTCTCTTCCCTTTTCTTGTTCAAGTTGTTTTAGACGAATCGCCGCGCTCAGCCCAGCTGGACCTGCGCCAACGATGCACACATCCACTTCGTCCTCCGCCCGTTCAACCTGTGTAGGGTCAAATTTCTCCCTCTCTCGTCTCCATTGCGTAGTATGTAGTTGCCTCACACGCAAGCAACGGGTAAGATTAGTTGCCTTGGTTCTTAGGCGCAACAGGGACATAATAATCTCGAGAGCTAGATTATTGAACGGCCGGAATTTGAACAGACAAATGGAAGAAACGCGATTCGTTGGCACCCAAGCCTAAGCTTATGACTGACAGTATTTTCACTAACCAGGCGCCAGATTGAGCCAAAAGCGGGTCTCCCGACTGTGAAAGCACGAGCAGGACCACAAGAGTGTAGCTGCGAGAAGAAGAAAGGCAAGAGGAAATTACGAGCGCGTACTTAAGTTGTGGTCGGGTTTGGCACTTCCGATTATCACGTGCTTCAACAGTCCCAAGTATCACAAACGCAGCACTCATCATTGGTACAAACACTATCCAGCCGGATTTCCATAGACTATCATGGGACACATCGCCATTGCCCAAGCTCGAGCAATGAGGGATACTACGACGATGAGACATACGTAATCAATTTTGCAGGTTCACCATTTGCAGCCCCAAGTTGAGCCCTTGCCTGACCAGCTACTTTGCCCCGTACGCGCAATACACGCGACTAACCAGGAAATCCATCTAATGCTGCTACACGTACTTGGTGGCATGCAACTAGCAATAGTAATCGGGCGCTCTGGTTGCTTTGAAGTTGCATTGCGATAGCTGACGGCTAATAAACTGGCTGACCGGCGACTGGACGAGCTTCGCATCGTTAACATCATTGTCAGTTCGCTGAAAGATGTCGGAGGGTTGCATACTGCTAAGCTTCGAGAGGGGTATGCCCTGTAATAAAAACGATCAGGAGGCGGTTCAGGCTGTGTTCAATGGTAAGAATTGTGTACTACAATCTCTATATTCACTTGATGAATATATTTCCCTTCAAAAGCGAATCCGGCTGTCGTGAGGCTAAAAGTCTACCAAGTGGATCCGTTCACCAACGGATACTACGTGGTTGGTGAGTACCGTTGTGACGTTCTACTCGTCATGCTGGTCGTTAACCCACTCTCATCATTTGTAGCTTTCGGTTTGAATGAAATGGAAGTCACGCGTTCGGAGGTCAAGAAAACGACTCGTGAAGCACTTGCATCTCTGACGGTCGATCCGCGCGTGCCATCTCTCATGCGCTCCAAGACTTTGCAGAGGGCCTCAAGTCTGCTGTGGAAGTTCTTCTGGGGTAGTGGCGCTCAGAAGGTGGAACAAAAGGGAACTATGGGTTACGCTTAGTTCTGGAGTGTAGCCTTGCCTTGGTACACATGCGTCTCTGAAGAGAATTGATGTGTAGGTTAGTGGGCTGAATAAATGTTGAAAGTCGCTCGTTCGACATTGCGAGAGGTGATGACCATGCCCACTTGTGAGCCTGAATCGACTACACCGATACAGCTATGCCAAAATGACTGCAGTACTTCATTAATACCTTGCTGATTCTCCCAACGCTACAGCACCTCAGGTTAAAGAGAAGAGTGGTATTGTAATAAACTTTGATGGTTATCCTATCAGTATCGACATCTGGAGTACTTTGCTTCTTCTTGCTTGCTAGCCGATGGCTTGACGTTAATCTGATACTCTGTTGTTTTGAGTAAGTATTTTGATCCACAGTTCAAGGCGCATTACTGCATGTCACACAAGCACAACGAACGCAGGAGCTACTACATGGTTTAGGCATAGCATAGCAAAATGGTGATTGCAATTATCAGTCTCAGATCCACTCATCTTCACTAGCAATTACTCAGTAATGGAAATCATTAGAGAATTGTCTAGTAAGCAACTCTGTTCAGACCCTGTCCAATAAATTTATAGACTTATCTTGCTTGTACTTTGTAGCCCAGACATTTAATACACCTCCCAATCATACAGATTTCCATATTAATATTGCGTCCTATGCCGCCGTCAGATAGGCATCAATATGCCGTAAAATAAAAGTATTGGACGCCACTGATAGTATCAATGTTACGGTACGCTATAGCGATGAATGCATAGTGATTATATGCATTCTCTAAACTGATAAATAGGTCCATGTTTACCTGTGGATCATCAACTAACATCTCAGCTCACAATGAACACAGACGGAGCAACGCTTTCTTTTTCCAGGGAAGACCTTGGACTAACAAGTACACCTGATGTCCGTGCAACGAATCAAGATATATTCGCTAGTAGGTTCCACATGTATTAGAACAGTGCATGCTCATATTCGAGCTTTTTATTGGAGACTACCCTGAGGTCGTCAAGATAGAGATATTCGAAGATACAGACGAATATGAGGGCGGAAACAGTACCATCGTGTATTCAGCTAAGGGTTAGTAGGTTATTTGATTTTAATACAGCCAATTCTACTGTACTCTAAAATCTGACTTTGACTTGCAGCAATGGCAGATCCGAAGAAGAATAAGCACCAAGTACGGGCACAATCCGAGTGGTTTGAAAGATTTCCTGATGCACTTACAGATCTCAAACAGAAGCTAGGTGTGTAATGCTAGTATACTGTCACCCTGCAGATATTATTAATGCATATCCTCACTATATAGCTGAGAGAGCTGCTTCCAAGGAAAGCAGAAAAAGCAGCAGTGTAACTAGCAGAAGCCTTAGTGTGTTTAAGAGAAAGAGCAAAGATGGCTATGATAGATTGTAGAATGGGAGAGATTCCTAGTTCAGCTAATTATTATATTCTAGTCTAGTCATGTTAATAGTTTAGATTAGAATTCTAATAAAAATGCACTTTGAAACCTAAATATTCGACTTTACGATCATTTTGGCCGAGCTGAGGAAACCGCGACTTAGATAACAAAAAATAACATTATGTATTCATAGAGGGTCGATGACGTAATTAACGTTTCATTGGAAGGTCGATCCTCACGTGCCCGTGTTGTGCACGACAAAGCAGACTGTTGTCCACGGCTTGCCCTTCCACCACCACCACCACCACCACCACCACCACCACCACTATCTTTCCGCCCGTTGCTGTCCGGTTTCTGTCTGTACGGGTGTCCTGTTTTGTTACAGAAGACTCCTGAAAGCCGCAGAAGCACTCCATGTATGGCTACAAGGAAGACGCCGCCGCCGCAGAGAGTCTCGTTTCATCCACCAAGCGAGAATGCGGTCTATCGCGATCTGCTGTTGTTTGAAGAGAGGTTGAAAACAAATGCTTCGGTGTTAAAGAAGAGGAAATCCAGATACCAGTGTGTGTGTGTGTTGCTTCCACGTTAAAGGCATGTTCCATGCTGATTTCAGGATGCTAGTGTTCCTTGCTCAGCTGTTGGCCGTCATAATCTTTCTAGCGTCCGAAGTATTCTTCGAGACGCGTTTCCTGGACATGCCATGCAATTATGCCATTCAGAAGGTTTTTCCTGAGGAGTTTGAACAGGGGCACCATACAGTGGAGCTCCACCCGTTTGTCGCGAAGGGCTTGCTCCTCGTGGCAATCATGACTTTGCTGCTATTTTTTGCTAGTGGGCTGTATGAAGAAAAGATAGCATATGCAAATAGGTGCATTTCACATGTTTTTGAAATATCGTTAACTCACAGGGTACTTTAATATCAGATATGTCCCTCATGCAAATCGTGCTCTGCGTAATTTTAACATGTACCTCAATGTTCGTCACCGACCGCTACGTTCCCGGTTATTCGTCAACCCTTTCTCGCTACTCTTCCCTCGTAATCCGACGGAGGCAAATTCAAGATCTCCTTCACCAGACGGGCGACGTAAGCGTGGTGCGAGTGTGCCAATCCCTCCAATTCCGCCGACAAATAATCCTCGAGGCGAGCTTATATTTTCCTCTCGCGTTGATCGCAACTTTCGAGAGTCATACGAACGATACCGGGCAGCGTTTGAGCGCAAGCGCGAGGCACGCGAACAATACGCAGCCTCGCAAACGCGATGGGGACGTCGTTTCTGGCCGTGGAACTGGATGAAGCGCGTGCTCCCCCAGCCCGCATCGTATATACGCGAGCACAGTCCAACCAACTCTATGGCAGTAGCGCGAGGACGAGCTTCTGATTCTGAGAGCTCGTCAAGCACTCCAAGCTCTTCCAGGCGTTCCAGCCCAGTACCTGGCTCGATAGGAAGGGCCAAGGGTGCGACGATGGGCAATAGGAGTGGCACACCGCCGAGCGGTGTCCCGCGACGGCTGACGCCGGAACGGCCTCGGACGGAAAGTTTTAGCTTTTTGTTGTCAAATGACGACGGTTTCGGGCAATAGGATGCATTGATCGGGCTGTTCCTCGTTATCAGTCACATTAGGAGGTCTTTGTAAGCTATGATACGATTTGGACAATGGATGCTAGGCTATTTCTTGGTTTATACACTTTCTTCTCGTTTTTCTTGCAAGACTTCTTATCAATACCCGCGTACCTTCAGCCTCGCAGGCTAACAAAGACCTGTCAAGCCTGTCAACACAGGCCTCAAAACATAGCGTCATTTGATCTCTCTATCTGGGTATTTCTCTTCTATCTGTCGGTTCTTGATCCGATCCAACGACGTTCCCGCCGTGCAAAGTTATTCGGCTTCAAACCAATGAGAACGCCACAAACAACCGCATGGATCTTAAATACGCCCGATCCCACTTAAGTATCGTACGTGCTGGCATCGATTTCATTTCCCTGCAATAGCTCATGCCGAGCAAACAAAAGGGAACGATGTTCACGCTCAATCTCGAATTTTCAAGCTCCGGCTCGCTCTCTTGACTTTTTTTATCTTCTTTCCGGATTTTATGGGCGGTAAGAGTTCCGTCTATGCGTAGTCGGGGATTATGCCAACTCCGAGAGGTATCTCAGGTAAGACTTCCGACTTGAACTCATTCCTGGCAGCGTGATACATAAAGGTTGGTCTGGCTATTTAATTGAAGCAGTTGACAGAGTGTCGCTTATGCAGTTTCTAGTAAGTAAATGAGGCGAATTGTGCTCATTGCGGGGTAGTTCATAAAGAATTTCCACTCCACGAAGTTGCACACTGCCTTTGCGTGTTCCCTTCCCGCAAATCTCTCAGAAAAGAGCATATGAAATAAACTATGCGATTACGAGAGTTCACGCCATGTAAATGCAAACTCCTTCGTACCTAACGTTCATGTCGATGTCGTGTGCGAGCAAGACCTGTAAGAAGTTGTGCCGGATATTTGGCGAAACAGCCTTGAGGCGCGCGGCATGTGTGCCTATCGTTTCTCTTCCCATCCCCCCTGGAAGGGTCAAGCGACCTAAGTCAAGTCCCCGGTCAGGAGTACAGCTTCGCGTTCCGACTCCGACAATCCATTACTTTTCGCCTTTACAGGCAAGTGTACTGATCAAGCTAGACTTGCTTGCAATTCAGAGTCGCTTCTACCTCACGGAGAGCTCCGCCATGATATAGGACCCTTCAGTACGCCTTTCTCACCAACCTCGCGGAGCCTTGCAGAGTTTAACTTACCCTTGTTCAAGGTCTCGAGTTACGTGAGGCAGCTTATTGCTATGCATTCACAGGTATTTGGCGGACTGACCTACGCACCTGACCTTGTCTTTGATACTAGACTCCTCGGCCCTATTAAATCTTCTTTCTTTCGTATTACAAGCATGGGTTAGCCACTCCCACCGGCGTCTGCGGAACTGGACTCTGTCCTTCTTTGGCGCAACATGTATGTTGAGCTGTCGCAGACTTGCCAGCGAGGTTTTGGCTTATGACCCGATACACTTTTCCCAGCGGATCTTGCGTCAGGTTCGTAGAGTCTCCCCGAAGTTAACGGCCCGATGAATACAGGACGCAAGACTCTCCGGTCTCTGCGAGTGGGGAAGCTTTCGAAAGTGTTCTAAGCGGATGCTATTCGTTGAAAATTTGCACTTATTCAATTTGAATCGAACTGTGACGAGAGTTATTTCGTTTTAGCCCTTAACGACACTTTCTGTAGCCCTACTTCCTTATCTCCCAAAAATGTGTTGGCCCGACGGAAGGAAATTTCATCTAACTGTTATTGAGATACAACAGTACTACTTCATTAATGAAAGTCGCCCAAAGTCTACAGCTGACGCTAGTACACAATGTATGCAAAAGTCACACTTATCACTACTAGTTGCGTCTCCGTGGTGTTCGAATGCAGTACTTGAGTAGTATTCGGCATGAAAGGGAAATCGGACCCAAGAGTTTTATGAAGACTGGAGAAATTACTGGAAAGCACTAACTATATTTGGTCGTGGATTGCCCCATCCAGCGGATGTTAGTCATAATTGAATAATAGTAGCCTAACACTCGTGGTTTTTCTTTTGAACTGTCTCCTCAAGCGTGCGGTTCTTTGCAGTGCGCACTCTCAGAGGGGCGGTTCATTAAGCTCGTTTAGATATCATATAGGCAAAACAATATGCCTTTTAGCCATCATTCGCATTCGGGACAATTTTGCAGGCACGCTTCTGGGACACTGGAAGAGGTCGTTCTTGAGGCAATCCGTCAAAAATTCCAGATATATGGATTATCGGAACACGTACCTCGTTATCGCCTGGAGGATCGATACCCAGAGGAGGTGAATCCTGTCTTTTCCTTGTTCTCAGTTCACGTGTAAATTTTGTCGTTCGCCCCTTGCCGATTTGTATCCAGGAAGAAGTCACCCTTCAACAACTGGAATCGCAGTTCGACACTTTCGTAAAGGAGGCGCATCGACTCAAGGATCTGTACTCTTCTGAAATTACTATACTCGTCGGAGCGGAGACAGAGTATATAACTCCCGTCGACTTGCATCAACTTGCGCTGTTATTAGAACGTCATAGGGGGAAGATCGAATACCTCGTCGGATCTGTCCACCATGTCAACGAGTTCCCCATCGATTTCGACAAACCTACCTTTGAGTGCGCACTTCAGAGCTTCGCCGCCAAAACCGTACCAGGAGAGTGCACAGTCAAGGAGTTACTCGACCGCTATATCGATGCACAGTACGACTTATTCACACAATTCCACCCGGAGATCATCGGTCATTTCGATTTGTGCCGCTTGTACTATCCTAGCCTCGACTTTCGAGACTTTCCCGATGTTTTGGCAAAGATTGAGCGGAATATATCTTATGCCTGCGACTATGGTGCCTTGTTTGAGTTCAATGCCGCTGCCTTCAGAAAGGGCTGGAGCACTGCATATCCTGGCAAAGACATCGTTGAGGTAAGATAGTGATCTACGACCTGAATTAGTGGGATGCTGCTTTTATGCCGAAGCACGCTCGCAAATCACGGATGACTGCATAGATACTCTTTGCTCATACATCTCGGTTTCTCTTCCAGAAAATACTCCAAAAAGGCGGACGGTTCACTCTATCTGACGACAGCCATGGCCCTCACACTGTTGGACAAAACTACAACAAATTATACATATATTTGGAAGAGTTGGGTATCAAGGAATTATGGTACCTTGAACTAGAAGGGACTTCAAAGAACAGGAGAAGAACCAGGGCCGCGAAATTAGAGGGAGATTGGTGTTCGAATCAGTTTTGGAAGACCAGGGGTTTATCCTCGTAGCCAGCGGGTTATCGGTAAAAACTCCAATCCTTAACTTACCAGGCCGGCTAAAATGACCCTTTCGACAGGTCCGGGTGACGTGGCTAAACATCTACGAAGTTGTGTTTCGTGAGCCGCGAACGAGTAGTGCAACTTCCAGCTTGAGACCGAAGAACGGCAGGAACCGGTACGAGTGAACGACTATCAGCAGAAAATAGAGAGAAGAGGAAGTATCCCTGAATTCGGCGAGCAGATTCGCACCGAAGATGAAGATAGCATCGAGCATTCGGAAATAGGCATTCTGAAGAGGGAGTGGTCAGGATCTTCTGTTATTCATTCCGCTAAAAAGTGTTTCAGTCAGGGGACCTAGAGTAATACGATGTGCATGTTACAGTAATATAAATACAATTTTCCCTTTACACAGCCTACGCTGCCTGATACACGCTTTTTGCCATACTCAACTCAGAAGCTCGTAAGCCAGTGTAGAAGGAACGACGTGCATTTTAGCCGAATTCAACCGCATATTATCTCTTCTGTTTGATGATATCACGCAAAGGGACACTCTTGAAACTTCTCGCCTCGGGGGCCTGAACAATCTCAGTCCGTTACTCTCACTACACGTCATGAGGAACATGCTGCAGTGCTTCTATGTACCACGTAAAAGGGCATTCGTAACAGAATAACCTTCCTCATATAATGACCGGCTGCATCACCTTCAAGCTCTAGGAGATATGTATACGCCGCATGTGAATGCTGACGCGAGGGAATAACTTAGGCAGTATTTGTAGAGCATTTCGAGAAGACATCACAGACATCACTTAATGTGAAACACCAGCGACTTTCTTGAGGAAGGTAATTAATCAAGCTTCAAAGCGTTACCTGTATACAATAGATATTAGATAACACCTGGTGAGTATCTATCTAAAAACTCGTCTCCGCTGTCGCACATTTTCCAGAGAAGATATCTGGTTATTTCCCAACGTTGAGTTTTCGCTTCTCAGCCCCGTAATTCTCAACAATTTGACCTGAACTAGGTTAAGTGATCGCACGAATGTCCATTCGACTTTCCTGTTGCGAGCGAATTGGAATTCTAGGATTAGCTGAATTTGAGGAAAAGAAGCACCCAAAATAGTGAAGGCGAGTTGTATTGATTAGTCAGCAATAGTTCTGAACTCCTGGCCTCGGTAGCTCTCCTTCATTTAATTCTTACCACATCACACACTCATTCAGATCGTCTTATGTTGCTTTTGGGCGACTCGTAATCTCCGCCCTTTCAGTGACTTCTTACTGTTAAATTCGTGTATCGTCTTTGCAGCCGGTCGTCGACATGCTTCAGTTTCTTGTTGTTCTCGGTCGCTTATTCAAGGACTGTTCTCAATCGCGAACTCTCCAGAGCATTGCAGAGTCGCCCACGTCACAGTTTCCCTGTTTCTCCGGCTGGTGAACACGGTTATCCTGATAGATCTCATTACTTGCTTCCACGTCTATAAAGCTAGGAGAAAGCCAGACATATGATCACTCAACAAACCTTTTTTTCCCTTATGCGCGTTGGTATTGATCAGTCCCAGCGTACGACATAATAACGCTATCAGATCTTTATCGTCGTATCTGCAACATCTAGAGGAATCTCTCATTAGGCTAGGCTTTTAAGCTCCGCAACGTAATCGTCGTCAATCGTCCAAACCTACTTACCCTACCATATGGCAACACACTGCAACCTTCTCGTGCCCGCGATGCCACACGCACCGGACCACCGACCACGGCAAATTTTCATAAACACTCCGAGCCGCACCGTCACTTTCCTTTAAACCACTACAAGCCAAAACATGATTCCTCTTTTTGGCATAAAAGGTCGACGTTTACACGGCGCTTGAGTGACTGATATCCCCTCGAGTACTGACTGCGTCTGCTACTTCCCATTTGTTCAACATCCTGTGAGTATTGCAATGGCTCCCTCAAAGTATGTTCTGACGACTATCGCTGCAATGCATAGATTATGTGCCATAGAAGAGTTCCGTACAAAGCATACAGCTGCGGACATTCTTATCCTGCTGACGAGGGTGTACTAGTGAGCTTGCCCTTGCCTTCGCCAAGTCTAATCTTCTGATCCTCTACATTTTAGGTTGACTGTATGAAACGATTTTGCCGGTTGTCGTCCGCGCACCCGAACGGTCCTCGCAATTCCTGCGGCCCGGATTGCGCAAGGACTTGTATGGGAGCGTACGTAGCTAACTTGGTGCCCAGCTACTAATAATTTAACTTTCTTCTGTTAATAGACGTCTACCTCCTGAAGGTTTCGTAAGGGACACATACGCGGAGCCATGTTACAAGTGTCCCCCCTAGGAGTATAGCTTAGCCGAGTCATTCTCCGGCTTATCCTAACAAGAAGTGCGATGGATTTTTAACAATGCTATACAAATAGCAACAGTTCTGCTTTGAATGTGAGCAAGTTTGAGAGAGTTCCAGTGAATAGTCAAATATATGTTCCGATGTCGAGCAATGTAGAATTGAAATGTATAAAATTTTCTGGCTTAATTCTTTGGTTTAGCAGGATCAAAATCGTGAGAAGCTAATTATTATCAAACGCGCCGATCGCACGCGCCAAGGTTGCCTCATTTTCTCATTGACTCTTTGCACTACCACCTACAATAATGACTACTGACACTGCTAAAAAAATAGCCTACCTGCGGACACTTCCAGCAATACGAGAACGCTGTAACAAGGTCTATTCCATCGCCGCCCGGAATGAATTAGAATTCTTTGAATATCATCCCGAAAAGGAGGGCGATGCAGTAGACTTCTGTCTAAAGATAATCCAAGTGTGCATATACAATACATGCTGTTGCCAATCCAGCTAACAAAAATGGTGTAGCGTGATTTCGGTGCAGATATTGAATCGGTGCGAATACTGAGCCTATTCGTTAGTTTTGGAGTCCGTATTCATGATTTATTAGATCCCGCCACATGGGCGCTGGAGGCACCTTGATGCCGGCCGACCTCGCATTGCCCACTTAATTTCTAAATGGAAAGAGACATCTTCATCAATAAATGATAAGGAGATCTGTAAATGCCTGGTTGACTTATTTCTGGTATCGGTACTGCTGGATGCTGGAGCTGGCAAAGTCTGGAAATACAAAGAACAAGGATGTGGCGACATATTCTCTCGGTCTGAAGGACTAGGCGTGGCAAGCTTTTACATGTTTAACGAAGGGTTCTTCTCTGGAGACAGCAGTCAGCCTCATCAGGTTAATGGTAAGATATCTGCATTCTACATTCACTAGTTCTTAATGAAGCTTATATGAATTCAAAGCTATTGGTCTTTCTCAAATCACTCCTGAGAGAGTTGGGGCTGCGATGCAAGTGACAGACCAGAACCCAATGGACGGGCTTGAAGGACGTGCGAATTTGCTTGTCAAGCTAGCAGGCGCACTTGGATCGAACCCCCACTATTTCGGTAAGGATGCAAGGCCAGGAAACCTCATAGGTTAGAATCGGGTAGAATCTACCCATCGATCCGTAAATCAGCTAATGATGCACAGATTATCTGGAATCTCAGTCCACCACGGATAATAATGGCATCCGCTCTGTACCGGTTTCTGCACTCTGGCACGTTTTGATCGACGGCCTACAAGCAATATGGCCCGCCTCACGGACTACACTTGGTGGTATACCTCTCGGCGACGTTTGGCCGTGCTCGGTCCTTCCTAGTACCGAAGAAGGTGATAACTTCGTGCCGTTTCACAAGCTCACTGGATGGACGACATACAGTCTCCTCGAACCGATGCAGAAAATCCTCAATTGGCGATTTACGGGACTTGAAGATTTGACTGGTCTGCCAGAGTATCGTAATGGTTTGGCTGATCCCTTTACTAGTCTCTTCTACGATCATTCATAGTGACCTGTCCCACAGGTGGGTTGCTTATGGATATTGGAGTTCTCTCCCTTAAGCCCGGTGCGATTCCAACATCTTTCTACCCGGATCCGTCTTCTGCGATTCCTCGCCTTCCACCATCTCATCCCGCCATAGTCGAATGGCGTGCTATGACAATCATTGAACTGTAAGGCACACTCATTCCTCTTACTTTACAGGTAAATTAAAATAATAGCAATTTAATCCTACTACAGTGATCGCATTGCAGATGGAATCCGAGCTAAACTCGGCCTAACAAAGGAGCAACTCAGCCTCGCACAAGTGCTCGAGAGCGCGACTTGGAAGGGAGGGCGTGAGATCGCCGCACAGAAAAGACCGCAGACAAAGGGTCCTCCAATTGATATTGAAAGTGATGGAACAGTATTCTAGTCGGGAAAATACCCTAAGCTATTGCAAAGTATCTGTATCCGTTCTAACGATCCAAAAAATGGGGTGCGAAGGGAGTGGGAAACGAAATCAAGGTGTATCCACATAATATGACAATAGATATGAAGACTAAAATAATACATTTACTATCAGAGTAAGAAAGCAACAAAGCAGCAAGATATCAAGCCCGCAAGTGACGTGTCACTGACGCTTCTTTAGCTCTCGCGCGAGGCGCCATGAGAGAATGAATGCAAGTGTTGCCGCGATGCCTCCTACGCTATTTCTCCGTTAGCAAACACGATCCTGCTCCGAGGCAACGAGAAGGGGAAGGAAACTTACCGAAATATAACAGCGACCGAATTAGCACCGCGAGCTGCCGCTTCACCCATTTCTTGCCTAGGGTAAAACATAGTAGCGCTTGCATCCACTGTATCGTTTCTCACTGCGTTGGGAAATGTTCCGTTCCCCGGTATTCCGAGTCCGGGATCGGGACCTGGTGGGACTGACTTGGCAGGATCGAACAGTGCAAAGATGAGCGATGTGAATGCCGTCGAGATGAATTGCGGGACGACAATGAACAAGTTATGAATTCCCTGCGTAAACATGCCGATGTCATGCTTCATTTCAACACCTCATTATGAGCTCAGAGTGTACGGTATGACGCACAATGATAATTCCGGACTTCGCTTGCAGGCCACCGGACCGCTTCCTCGAGGCGCGTTCCCGCTCGGAGGCTGGATAAAGGGCAGAATGATTATGGACCGTGCCGTCAGCGTGTAGGTCCGCATGACTTTGACGGGCAATGCCGTTCATCAACACTCCGTTTGCATTCATCTCGGAACTCAGCCTCGTTCGTACGCCATCAATAGACGACGCTCGTGACTCCGCAGGTGAGGGCGACATGTCATTTGCACCTTCTTGAGATACCCTTTGTTCGGCCTGATGCTTGTGCCGAAGGTCTTCCATGAGTCCTTGCCGTTCATCAGGCTCTTCATCAGGTTCTCCAGACATTGGCTCCATAGATAGTCGTCGATCTAGAAGCTGAATGGATATAGAGCCATTGTCGTCAAATGAATCACTTTGGGAAGAGGCTAAGATCTCTTCAGCGAGCTATATCGCAAGCGCGAATAAGCATGGAGTCAGATAGAGGACCAAGATTGGAACGAACCAACGAGAAAGGGACCCATTGAGTGATGGCCCATGAGAAGCCAACGATTGTGATCAGGAATGAAGCTCCACCAACAGTTGACACAAAGCTGTTAAGTGCGAACTTATTCAGTGCAAGAAATATACTGGAGATAACTCCCTTACAATGTGCCTCCCATACAAACTGCGAAAAGTAGATGAGAGAAGGCCCACAACTCGCACAGGTGAACAATTTTTAGTCTATCAAGCAACGAAGGCTTCCTCGTTAACGGCGTGGATGTCGTTGAATCATAGTCCGACTTCACAAACAGCGGGAGTACGAAGTTCGCTGCCAGCGCAACAAGTCCATGATGGAACAATGCGCGAGAACCGATGATACTGGCTTCTTTATCTTGTGCTTCGACCTCCTCCGCATTTGCAGCAATTGGAAGGCCTTTCTTGTATAAGTCCCCGACATAAACTACTGTATAAAACAAGACTGGAAACCAGGCAAACCAAGCCCTGCAGGTATTGTGTTAAGTGAGAGGAGTACTGCGAAGATTAAAAAGAACGAACAGGAATTGTATAATGCACTTTAGGAGGGTCAGTAACGACAATCCACAGAAGTAGGAGCTTAGTACGGACAATTTGTCGGATCACACGGGGTAAATTCAACAGGTTATCCCATATTTCCCGGATCTCTTCGCGTAAACTTTTCTGGGCTTTGCTGCACAGTAGGTTAAATAAGGTAAATGTCCAGACTAAATATTTGGGACGCACGAGGAAGAGACGAGTACACGTTCTTTTACGCATGCGGCCGTTGTTGATTGAGTCAATAAAAGAAGGAAGCTAGCGATGACAGAAAGGACCTGCAGCTCAGTTCTCCCGAAAATCGGAAAAACTTTCGTCAGGTCCACATTTCCTCTGCATAATTTAGTAATGGTACGTAAGTCTATCTGGCAGTGCAACATTGCAAGAGAAGCAACCTGCCTCAAAGAAACTTACTTACATGAAGAACCCGAGCACACTGCCTAAACCTAGCATGCGTGCCGCCCATGCATTGCCAGCTGGTTGCTTAGAAGTGGGTATCGAGTCTACAATCAAAGCACGATCAACGGCTTGTACCGCGTTGACGGAGAAATCAAGGCCGTAGAGAGCAATGACGGCGAAGACAATCGTTAACGAATCGTTCTGTTTTTCCAAGTTAGAAACGATGATAATCGCGCAAACGTAAAACGCACTACTGCGCTTCCTCTCGAAGTAAAAATGGACACTAATTCTCTAGTAAACCCAAGGAGAAGCGTTGAGACTGCACACACGACGGAGGCGAGTAGCATGTAGGGTCTCCTTCTCCCGAAGCGTGATTTCGAGTTGTCCGCTATTACGCCTAGAGAAACAGTTCATTTTGTAGCAGAAGTTCGCGCGTGAAGCTTCCATTTCATACCTATTAGGGGCTGCACAAGCAGACCTGATAATGGACCGGCTAAGAAAGCGATAGCCGTGAGTGATTTTGAGAGGCCTAGTCGAATGAGATATGGCGAAGCTAGGAAAAGCCATGTAAAATCCGTAAAGCTCCAATACAACTGCAGTATCTCACCTTGCGACATCTCGACAGACCACAACACCTGCACCCCAAGAAGCCCAATCGTCAGGAGTGGCAACTGCAGCCATCGTGGACCAAGAATCCTTGACACGCCCACCCATCGTACTTCTCTGTCGTCTGCATCCTCTGCAACCGCAAGCGCACTGAAACCGGTCATTTTGGTGATCTATAATGCGCTCTTAGAGACATTCAGCGTAGGAAAGTGAGCGTTTTGTGTTTCCTCGTTGTAGTGTACACTGTCCAAACTAAGAACGTGGCGCTATGTCGTCGTCGTATGTCTTTAGGTTGTGCGATATCGACGCTGGCTGACTTTGACTTCGTGACGCGAGAATTATCCGACTCAAATATGGAAGTTGTAACCCACACTAATTATATGACCATGAGCATTGAAAAAAGCAACGGTATGCAAAAAGTACAGGCACAATCTATACTGTAACAACGCATAATAAACGACAGAGTGCGGATCGTGCGTTAGTACGCTAGAGCGTAAAATTACTTTTGGTGAAGGACGAATACACGCGATCCGTTTGAAGCACCGTCGCCCTTCAATGTCATCCAACGCCCTAACCGCGGTTCGCGACCCAGTCCAGCGACAACAATAAGACTCTCCTTCGCATGCCTTTCGTTTGTTGCTAGAACGGAATCTCCATTTGGTTGTGAACTATTCCCTGCTGCTTTATCCCTCTTCGCTGCAAGCCACTCCCACCCATCAGTTGCCGTACGCGGCACTAATAACACTTGCACCGAGTTCACAAAGCCAGGAGCTGGAAGCTCTCCTATTAACGTCAAGCTGAGAGGTCGAGACTTGTTCGATGAGTCGACAGCGATCTTCCATAAACGGACCTGCCCAGACCACGAACCCGATGCTAGCACGTCCCCGTAGCGAAGACAAGCTATGGACGTAATCCAGCGTGGAGTAGACACAACCCCTTCTGTCTCGGAATACGTGTCATGCATTCCATGTGCGAGAGCTTGTGTGAATATCGGCTTTTTCTTCCCAGTAGTCCATATTGATAAAGAGCTGCAGTAATGTCAGGCTTCGATCCTCCATGAAGGGGACAAAAACACTAACCCGCTATCCCCACCCGTAACGAAAGTACTTTCATCAATCATTGCAACACATTCAAGAGACCCCTCTTCGTATCTTTTCTCTACTCTCTTTCCCAGATGGGTACCTTCATCATCATCAAGACCCTCTAGTCCGCCTTCCAGAACCTCACGCACTTTGCTAACTCCTCCCCCTCTAAAGACTAATTGTGTCTCATCGACAACCTTCCAAAAGCGTGCTGTACGATCCCGGGTACCGACACTAACAGCGGTCTCGGCGCGAAGAGCATCCAGACAGACCACATGGTCCTGATGTCCGAAAAGTGTGTCGACATAGCCCATGACATTCGGCGATAAGTCAAATAGTTTCAGCGTTCGATCCAGCGATGCGGTATAAACTTGGTTAGTGCCTTTACGGAAGGCTAAACCCTGAATCCGAATTGAGTGAGAGCTGTTCATTATAAAAAGAAAGAAACACGAACAGAAATAGTGTCTTTATGTCCGCCAAAGCTCCGGAGCCATTCGTTTTTCCCCACATCCCATACAATAAGCTTCTTGTCTTTTCCTCCACTCGCTAGGAGTTTCTCGTCATCACTCAGAGCAAGAGCAAGCACCTCATCTGTATGGCCGTGTACATCCGCTATTGCCTTTCCTTTCCCCTTTCCCTCTGTATGTCCACCCAATTTCAGCTTGTAGAACGTCGCAACGGGTTTTCCGGTCGACAAATCCGTTCGGATTATTGAGCCCTCTTTCCCAGAGGTGAACAGATACTTCCCACTCGGACTCGCAACGGCCCCTGTGACGGCTTGACGGTGCCCGCGTGTTCGGAGGTATAGCGGTTCATCAGGGACATAAAGCTTTATACAAAGTCAGATAATTAAAATATTGAAACAAATTGACATCAACACACGGAGGCTGCTAAGAATCTGTGCATCCTTCCACTATGCTGCATAACATCTTGTTTTAGCCTCGACGCGATAATTTCGCGGTCAAGTTCTGCAGCATCAACTTCGCCAGCATTCATTGCTTTTTGAAACCTCGTCAGCTCACTTAATCACTAGAGTGAATATATCTATACACACCAAGCTCCTCTTTCACGCTATCCAAGTATACCTGCGCAAGCCTAAGACGCTTCTCCGCAGGCGTCTCGAGCTCATCCTCATCACCGCTAGCATTTGGGTCGCTTTCAGAGGCTCGCAAGTCTAAGTCGTCAATATCTTCATCACTCCTGGTCGCGTCCGACTCGAGTTCTTCGTCCTTTCGCTTCTTTGTGTTTGGAGCCTTGCCTTCAGGTCGTCCTTTCCCATTGACTTGCTTTCTTGAACTGGAGGCAGATTTGACTCCTAAGGAGCGCTTCCGCTTACGCGTCTTATTCGAGACGAAGAAAGCGTCGGGCATCGAGCTAAGCAAAAGCGAAAGCTGATGAAATTTCAAGCCAATTCGACTTTTCTCAAAATTTATGGCACGTGACTAAGCAGTGTCGATCTGATTTATTTCAATATTTGTATTTTCCTCCTTCTCTCAAGACAAGGTGCAACGTGGTACACCCTCTTCATCTTGCACATAAGCATTCTCTTATATTTAACTTAGATTAAGCGTAACGTAGGGATGGAAGTCCAAAGGTTCAGGCCCGGAACCGCTCCGATCAAGGCAGAGTGTGTACCTCACTTCAGGCTAATTAACAACCTATCCATTCAACTCAACTCATGAACAGATATCTAATCTCAACAGAGCCTCGGGCTGCTGCTATAGACGATGATGCAGCGGAGAGCTCAACAAATCATATTAGAGGCACCACTGGTTTAGTGCACCAAGATGATGAAGGGCATGTCGGGCTAGATGGCACTCCACCAGGCAAGCGCCAAAAATTATCGAGGGAGGAAAAGAAGAAGCGTACTGGAGCCAACAAGGCTCGCCGGTTTGCAAAGATGAAGGATGAATTGGAGCTCTGTTGGAAGGTGGCTGTTGGAAATGAGTGTGAATTTGGTAAAGAGTAGGTCTGCATATATGCGCAGCAGAAATTCTGTGAACTTGATCAACGTTTGTTTAGCTGCCGGTTTACGCATGACATAGACGAATACCTTGCACAGAAGCCAAAAGACTTGACGTTTCCGACTAGTGTCGATTCTGTATCTATCCAAGCCTACTCCGCAGCGGACTGCTCGAATGATATTGCAAGCGTATCGGAACTCCCCCCATCTGTGGATCCGTCTGTATATTGCCCGGTTTTCGATGCCAAGGGAGAATGCAGTCATGGATTTAAGTGTCGTTTCCTGGGTTCACATATCAGGAAGACGGAATCGGGCACCCTGGAAATTGTGAAAGATGAAGAGAAAGTCGCTCGACGCAAATTGGACACCACTGAACTCAATTACATCCTACTGGATAGCCTCAAGCAGTTACGATCGAAAAAGGTGCTTAAGTACAATATTTTCTGAGCTTCCGTAGGTTGCTAATGGTTGTGACAGTATCCACAACCCATAACGGAGGCTTACTTGAAGGAGTTGGAAACATCTGGCAATACGAAAAAGGAACCAGCTAGAACTACCGCGCAAACAACGTTCTCAGAATTAGAACTTATGGCCGACGAAAATGAGTCACAGAAAGATACGCCAGATGTCCCGATGAGATTTAACGAGAAGAAAAGACTAAACTGGCGTGGACTCACTTGTAAGCTCTTTTCGTATGGGAATTTCTGGTATTCTGATTTATCAACTGGTTAGACCTTGCTCCCCTCACCACCGTTGGAAACTTAGTAGGCTATTCCGCATTACTCTACTGCGACAAAATAACCGAGATTGTAGCCATTCAGGCAACTCTGTGTCTCTCTAGGCGCCGATATCACCTGCGGAGAAAGCGAGTAATTTCAACGCTGAAACTTCATCCATTTTCTCATTAGCAATTGACAGTGGGTCTAGCTACATCATTTCTCCAAGGTTCAAAGGAAGAATGGTCCCTTGTTCGCCGGCATCCCTCGGAACGAACGTTCGGTGTACAATTGGCAGGTAGTAAGCCTGGACCACTAGCTGCAATCGCCGAAGTTATGGCACGAGAATTCGGTCCTCGAGGCATTGATTTCGTTGACGTCAATTGCGGATGCCCGATTGACTTGGTGTTTCGAGCTGGAAGTGGTTCTGCACGTAAGTTTTCCTTCTTCGCGAAGAATAATTACTTCTGCAAACGTCGTTTTCCCTAGTTCTGGATGCCCCCGCGAAGCTGAGCAAGATACTCGTCGGTATGAGCAGGGCACTAGGCGAGATTCCCCTCACTGTCAAACTCAGGACTGGAGTGAAAGAAGGAAAGAATACTGCTCATAAGTTCATGCCTCGTCTCGCGGCAGAGACAGGTATAGGGGCAATGACAGTCAGTTTTTAATTCTCTCACAGCGAGCCGGAGCTGTTATTCACTTTGGAGTAATCTAGCTACACGGCCGGACCCGCCAACAGCGGTATACCAAACTCGCAGACTGGGATTATATTAAGGAATGTGTCGATGCTGTACACGCAAGAGAAGTAGAAGAAGGGTGTAAGTTCCTCCTGTCAACAAACTCTTCGCTACTTACTTATGAACTCCTGAAATGAAGTGGCTCCTATCCCGATATTCGGAGGCGGAGACGCCTATTCTTCGCAAGACTATTGGGGAAGCATAGATTACAGTGGTGTCGATGGGGTGATGGTCGGACGAGGCGCGCTCATCAAGCCGTGGATTTTCACAGAAATAAAAGAACGGAGAGAGTGGGACATCAGTGCTCGTGAGCGCCTTGAACTCACTCGGAAGGTAATTTACTTCCCTCTTCCTCCCTTATGTGGTATTTTAACACATGACGCAGTATGCAGAGTATGGTCTGAAGTATGTCTAAGTCCCTCGTGTCTTTTGAAGAAATTCTGAACAACATCCAATACCTCACTTAGTCATTTCGGAAGCGATACAACAGGTGTGAACACCACACGTCGTTACCTCTGTGAAGCACTCTCTTTCACCCATCGCTATATACCCATCGGACTCCTTGAAGTACTCCCAGGACGCTTGAATGACCGCCCGCCAGCATTCAGAGGACGAGATGAATTGGGTCAGTTTGGCATCCCAATCTTAGATGTCGTGTCTTAATCCCAATCGGATGTACTGCAGAGACATTGCTAGCAAGCACGGATAGTCGCGACTGGGTCAAAATCTCCGAAATGTTCCTTGGCAAAGCACCAGAAGGTTGGACGTTCACACCGAAACACAAGAGCAACTCCTATGGAGCTGAAGAAAGTCAGGGATAGGGATAGTCTACCATACTGACACGCAAAAATTGAACATCAAGCGAAGTGCTAGAAATACAATAAACTTTGGGGAAGAAGAAATTCCGCATCCAGGTGGAACATCCAAATATAATAGTGTCTAGTCGGTATATTGGTGAAGGCGACAAGAATAATGATAGTCCATAAAAGTCCAGGAAAAGACAGTGAATATTAAGCAAAACACGAAGAATTGATTGTTCGTAGGCGGAAATCATAGGAAAGTGGAACGTGCGAAATGAATGTGTGTTCGCGTTAGTCGCGGAAGTCAAGCATTGCAATAATAGCGTCCGCCTGTCAGAAAAGGGTTAAGGAATTGGTCAAGATGAAAGGAAATATAGTAAATTGGTACTCACGTCTTCTATCTCTGGTTGAGGTGGGACTAATGAGGGAAGGGAACCGGAACGAAAGCGCATTGTTTCGGAGTGAAAAGCGGGTTTCACATTTACGGCGTACCCCGTCTTCTTTCTGTCAGATTCACGAGTACAGGACGGTGGGATGCAGTATATTTCGGAGTGGGGTCGGGAAGGAGAGGGAATTGATCGATCGGCGTGCTTGACGCCGAGAAGATCGTAAACATCATCGTATAGACCGTCCGAGGTGCTGGGAATGGCAGAAGTTTGTGCTAACAACGAAATTAGTCAATGTTTCAAACGGTTGTGATATTTAACTTACCGATCGATGTTGGTGGGTGCGAAGATGGCATACCGCTTGTACCGAATCTGTAAGATGGGTCCATAATAGGGAGTGGAGGAACCGGAGGAACAATGTCTGAAGAGAAGGTGGTGCGAGCACTTGTTGCATGATGAACAAGCAAACTAGATGATACAGAAGATCTCTGACTGTGCCGTTGATAACTGTGGCCAGAAAGGCGTAGACCAGCTTTGCTCGTTCTTGAGCTGCTTTGCCTTGCAAGTGAGACTCGACTAGATCTACGGCTACTAGACACGGATTTCCGCCGAGAGGATCCGGATTGTTCGGCCAATGCATCTAGGTCATGTTCCAACTCCTCCGCCTTCCGCCACGCTTCATCTCGCTCCGCGTGAATGTTGATAATTTCTGACTGGAGTTTCTGCACCTCTGAGGTCTGTCGGAACAAACTTGCATTCAGTTTCCGCAAAGCAACGGCAAGCGCACTCGCTTGATGCACGTCTTGAAGTCGGCACATTTGTGCAATCTGGTCGTCTACGTTGTGCAACTCTTCGACGAGCTTATCACAGGATGCTGTTATCTTGGCGAGCTCTTCTGCATCTCGTACAACAGCCGTTATGTCAACTACGCGGCCATTTGAAGAGAGCGATGTCAAGCGCTGGATGAAGGAGCATCGCCGTCTCACTAGAACTTTGTAGTCTTTCTGGATGTCCAGGCGGCACGCTTCCAATTTGTCGATTTCTACCGGGAGTTTCTCGTAAACATCTCTCGACAGAAGTCTGATGGACGACGCCTGGGCAGATTGCTCGATGGCCATTCGCACGATGGACTGCAGCTGTGAAGAGCTAAACGTCCATTTCGCCGCATCTAAAGTAAGCCCACGCCAGTTAACAGGAGTTGTCTTAAATGTCGGTGTAGGCAACGGTGACTCTGGCCTTTTAGTTGCAGGTTTTGCATTCATTATTGCTCGACTGTTGCCAGCCGCACTTTCACTAACAGAGCGGCGTGGTGCAAAGGTAAGAGGCGCCGTTATCGTCGAGTTTCCTACATGACTATTTGGCTTGCGGGGTCCGAAGGGTAGCGGCGGACGAATATGGGAAGCCCTTCTCTTAGGCACAGGTTCCAGAAGGGGAGGCGATTGACGGACCGCATTCAGGACGGTTTGGACTTTCGGAGCTGGGAAAACTGAGGCTGGAGAAGGTGGGGGAGGCTGCAGTGGTGATATCGGTGGACTGTTTGAACAAGCTGAGGACATCGAGGTTGCTTCATTGTTGACAGAAAGCCCGCCGTTAGGTTCAATAGGTGTGATCTTTGTTACCTCGGTCGTACAAGATGCAGGTGTTATTACGAGAGATTGCAGTGGAATCGTATTCTTCGAAGACAAGTAGGGTGTTGTGTTGGGATGTTTCGCGGCCAACGTTATAGAATTGGACCTTGACATGATGCTCATTGCGTAGTCTGGCGAAAATAGGACGGGAGTTTCAGGGAAAGTCTGAATGTCACCAGACAGAGGTGCATTCTCCGCACCCATCGTCACCTCTGGCACACTGTTGCGCACGTCATTTATCTCCAGCTCATCATCATCACCATTCATGGGCAGGTAGCGCAGACTATGTGCGGGGGTAATTTTGATTGGGCTCGGCGTGCTGCCTGATCGCTTGCGACCGACCTGGCGGCGAGAAATGGGGGCGACGATGTGCCCATTTGGAATCAACATATCCAAAAGGTCTGGAGAGCGGCATGATGGAGGTGATGCTGACGAGGGTGGACTTGGAGAATCTCCCCGATTGGTGACGTGAAGCTGGGGGAGAGATGGCCGCCGCATTTCGGACTCTGAATCTTTAGGGTTCGTGGACTGAACCTTTAATGGGCTGTGGATTGAGTCTGCTGCATGGTCCGCATTGGGACTCAAACCATTGCTCTTAGCGACTCCACCAGGAAAGTGAAATACGGCTTTATTACTGTCCGACACGCTTCGCAAAGCTTCTAAGGCGTCTGTAAGCGATTAGAAATCCATTACAAAAGAATAAAGGGACGAACCATGAGAGCTAGGACTTGATATAGGAGACTTGCCAATAACTGCAACAGCAGACGAGGTCGAACCGTTCCTTCTAGTATTGTTCGGGTATTGATCATTTGCGCTACCCGAAACTTTGGCTTTTGCAAGAGGATTACGAGACGAGGATGAGGAGCGTTCCCTTCTCCGCTTTGCTGTTGAGGCCTGGACAGCACGGGAAGAAGTATTTGGCGATATCTGCAGAAAGCCAGCGGAACCAGTAGCCGACGCTGAGTTCGATCCACTTGCAGAGCTCACGCTCCGGGCCGTCATCGGGACCTGAACGAAGCCCGGAGAGTCTGCGCTCCCCGCGTAGCCACTCTTTCCTCCGCGAGACGACGGTCCGGAACTTACGAACTCAAAGTCTTCAAGGAACGACTCATAGTCGTAGTCAGATTTACTCGAGCTAGCGCCTGCAGATTTATTCGGAGAAGCAAATGGAGAGGCAGTATATTGCGAATATGTCGATGGAGTGGATAACATGGACGGAACCTTGAGTGGGCTGCTGAGCACCGGGGTTCCCTTCCTTGATCTCGAATGTGCTTTGGATTTGCGCGAAAATGAGTCCGAAGTCGACCCGGATGTCGGCACAACCAGTGGTGAAGATGATGCTTCTACGTCAGCCTCCGAGATACGAGATATCCGGTGGAGAGCAGCTTGATCAGATTGTCCCAATTTCTGCGCACTTGGAGTTAAACCGGGAGGTGGTGGGTTCCTTGTCGTACTCCTAGAGCGTTGATGATTATGCATGCTGTCTTTCCGAGGCGGAGGAGGCGGCTGCTCCGCTTCCGTGTCTTCGTGTTTCGCTTTCCCTTTCACTTCGTCTTTTCTACAACGCGGCGTCGGTAAAGCAGAAGCATCGAACGGAGGGAGGTCCGTAGCTCGGATATCATGCTTGCGCTTCTTGATCGAATGTGTTGAACTCCTACGAGAGATAGAGGGGGAGTACGTTAACCCTTCCCAGACATTCTCCTTTGGAAGCGTAGCCGAATCCTGGCGCGCAAACCTGCCACCACTATCCCGTTCCTTCGTTGACGCATCTCCAAATACATTTCCTCGTGCTGAGAATGAAAAGGATTCTGCGAGGACATCCCGAGCTGCGGACATCCCGGATACGGGAGAGACCTCTGAATCGGATGCCCATGCCAGAGAATTTGCCGTGAGAGAGTGTCGAGTACGTGAGATTCGTTGCTGTGAATTCGGAGGAATAGATTGTAATGGTGATGCAGGTATTTTGATCGGTGTCACGGTGGGTAAAGGTCCCATCCGGCGGCCCTTCTCTTGAGGTGCCCTCTGATGACATAAAATGAGTATAGCGAAAATAAGAATAGAAAGGTGAGACAGACCAAGCTCCTAGGGCTTCCTTCAAAATTCGAAGTCCGTTCTATTCCCTGAAAATACAGGAATTGAGAACAAAGATCAGTGTCTCTTGGTAGCAAGGAATTGGATAACAATAAATAGATGCATGGGCCGACAATACCGATCATTCGAAGTACGATACTGTCTTGTTTTAAATGATGGGTGGTTGCGAAGGAAGCAGAGATGGTAGACAGTGGAGCTCACGTCCCCGATGGTTGATGATATGAGCAGCATCTCTGGGATAAAAATAGCGTCGTGGAAGCTTGAGAAGGATGCGTGCAATGAACAGGAACTGCGTCCACAACTCGATCACGCAAATGAAAACCTTGCCGGCCTCCATTGTACAAGACGAAAGAGTGTAGGCCAAGGAGCAGGAAATAGTGACTTACCTGCATGTAAGGAGACGGTCTAGTGTCATCCACCGAGCTCGTCATGCTACCTTTTCTATATCTGAGGAATTCTTCCGGAAGTGATTGCAACAGCGAGTCGTGTTTGAACTCTAATTGTATTTCGGGTGAGCGCTTAGGAGCACTAATCGTCTCCACTAAGGCAGAAGTCGCAGCATCCTTCATCCCGTCCACAGCATTCCTTCTACTCGGTCTACTCGGCTCTCCTGACAAAACAGGCCGTGCTGAAGGACGTCTTTCAATGACAATGTCTCCGACAGTCCCAGATGTCATGAACGAGCCCGATCCTCGTGAGTTCCGTCTAGGTCCCCGTGAACTAGGTCCACTAAAGTTCCGTGAGCCCTTCTTCCGAGGGCGCTTCTTGCGTCCCCCCATATTGATGAACGATAACATGCTTGAAGGTGGAGAGCAAGGGATCCAAATGGACGCCAGATCTGCGTGAGTTAAGTAGTACAGTTGACAGGGCAAGAGTGAAAGATCCGGACTTGACAAACGCCGAGGGTAGCGAAGAAAGGCTTGTACCCGATGAGAGTGAACAACGGCAGCGATGGGGGCATCCGCATTGCAATGACGCGTAAGTAAAGGTACCTATATAAATGATGGCAAGTTGGAAACAGATGCAAGGCGGTGCCCGTCCAGCATGAAGCGCCGCTGGTTCCAGTAGCAGTTCCCACCGATCACTGGACGTGATATATGTCCAGCCTTCCGGATCTGGATATCACGCTTGAAGCGACTTAATACACAGCAAAGGGAGATGAAGGCGTAGGGAAATTCGTCCATATGCATAGCGGAGCCTTTCTCAGAGTCAAAATTACTCGTTCGATCAACAGATGGTCGGCTCGTTCCGGGTAACTGAACAACTCAGAAGAGCTGTAAACGCATTCAGTCATGTCAGCATTTCGCAGGATCACGAATCATTTGTGGGGTTCGCCTGCCATTTCAAAGCTCGTCTTCCATATCCATATAAGAGATGCCTAACTTGACAATCAGATATGTATGGGCGTGGAGGAAGTGCAGTCTTCCGCCTTGATAGCTTTGAATCCAAAAGTCCCACAGGTTATCATCGTTGATTCAAATACGGCATCTAAGTGGTGGGATTTTATAACAACTTGCAAAACAAGCCATTGATCAACTCACCATCTCTTGGATGTGATGCCACTGAATAGGCGGTAGAAAACAAATCAATTCTTTTTCTCGCGTATAAATACTCGGGTTTACACACACGTCTTCACATGGTCAATGACCCAGGCTTCTAAATCCGACAGCCAAGTTATTTTTTGGAATCTTAAGAACGCCTTATTGACTGTAGCAAGGTACGATGATCGGTCATCCCGCAGAAGCAATCGTGTTTTGATGAGCAGACCGGTTACTCTCGTGTTCCCTCAAGAATACAAATTTGCAGGAATTCGAAAACAGCGGCTACTGTATGCAGATGTCAAGGCTGAATCGCACGCCTAATTGACAGTGAGCACCCCTGATACCAAGGTAGTGACAACATAGTCGTAATGATAAATATCTGTCAAGTTAACACATGTTAGCATCACATTCAGTTGGCTTTGGAAGACCTGTACTCTATGCGCTACTTCAACCAACTCAGATCCCGGACGTCGCTTCCGAAGCTTCGGAACCAATTCATGCGGTCAGGACATCCTACGTAGCAACGGCTCCCAGCAACCCATCATGTCTGATTCTAAGCGAAGCCACGGACAACACACTGCAGCAGTCAGACACCGAGGAGCACGAATCATTCTTGGCCTGAGGAGATCAATATTGTTGAGATTCAACCGCGGGGTCAGATCGCGGGTAATATACTCTAATGCGGTCATGTCTGACGTGAAGAGTTGACTTCGCTCAAGCTGCGATATCAGTTTCCTACTATCGAGATCTCGCAGCTGCGCCCAACAAACGATCACCATCCTCGAGAATATATCAACCTTTCTCGAAGTAAGGAGAGATGCAGGATTGAGGATCAGCGTCAGTTGAAAAGATGTCAACAAATCATAACGCACAAAATCTGCTTCCGAGTATACCAGTTCACAGACTTTTGGAATTACGATAACAGGCAGAAGCATGAGAAGTCTGGCGCGGGACAGCAGTCAGGCGGGGGGCTGTTCCTTTTGATGATGGTTTGATTGGTCGCATCATTTGGCGACACGACCACAGCACCAATAACTGTCAGGCGTCTGAGAGACCTGTGCATCATGAGCACATTACAGGTAACAACTACTGATCGTGGACCGCATGTCCAATGATGGCCGTTGGAGACATCGGGTTCTGCGCCGTCGCCTCTGCGCGACTCGGAGCCGCTTGTTCGTGTCCCTGTGTGACACATGTACCATGTATGTTTCACGAATATACAAAATGCGAGAAGACAGGCATGAACGAGATGTGCAATCACTTGGCATACGATGGCAAATGAAATGACAAGGACCATTTCCATTTCACTGTTTTCACTGTTCAGGTCAGGCCCGAAAATTCCGATGATATCACGTGCACCTTGTCAATTCCTGCTCTTTGCCAGCGTCGATCGTCAAAATTTACCGGTCTGGCATCTCGACGAGTCAGTACTCAAATTTGCCCTATTAGATACACTCGTCTATGAACTTCCACAGCTTGGAAGTACATATAGTGTCTTTTCATCCATGAAGTACTTTTCTACAAAAGGCGATGGGAAGGAACTCTCCTTCGAAGAGGTTGACAATTCCACATGTCTGTCTACAGGTTTATTGACGAACGGATCCTTTAGACAGTCCTGACAGGACTTGCTCCAGACGGTGGATTGTATATCCCAACGGAGATACCTAAACTTCCAGAGGATTGGCAGACAAGATGGGCGTCACTCTCATTCCAACAGCTCTCCTTTGAAGTCTTGTCACTCTACATCGATGCTGCTGAAATGTCGCACGATGAGCTGCGCGCTCTTATAAACAATTCATATAGCTCGTTCCGGCATCCCGATATCACTCCATTGAAAAAACTGGACGACAACCTGTTCATTCTTGAACTATTTCACGGTCCAACTTTTGCGTTCAAGGACGTTGCACTGCAACTCCTTGGTAACCTCTTCGAATTCTTCCTCTTAAGGAGAAACGTAGGCAAGACCGGTGAACAGAGGGAAAGGTTGACCGTTGTGGGTGCGACTAGTGGCGATACAGGAAGGTAAGGGAAATCCGCCATACCCGGCATTAATACACCCCTTAATTGACTGTATGCGCCGTGAATAATCCAAGTGCGGCAATCTATGGATTGCGGAATAAGAGGGACATCTCAATCTTCATTCTACATCCAAAGGGACGTGTATCACCCATCCAAGAAGCACAAATGACGACGGTGACGGATTATAACGTGCATAACATCGCCGTCAAAGGCACGTTTGATGATTGTCAGGTAAGATTTCTTTCCTCGGTCATTTAACATGGTCTATTTATTTATAGTAAACACAGGACATCGTCAAAGCTTTATTCGCCGATGCCGAGTTCAATGCTACCCATCGACTCGGAGCGATCAACTCAATAAACTGGGCGCGTATCCTTGCCCAAACAGTATACTACTTCCTTGCGTTCTTCAATGTACGACGCCAACTTCCACCAGGGTCCGACGCAGAACTGCAATTTGTAGTCCCAACTGGGAATTTTGGTGACATCCTCGCCGGATTCTACGCAAAGCGCATGGGTCTCCCTTGTGCGCGGCTTGCAGTAGCGACGAATGAGAACGACATCCTCGCACGCTTCTGGCGTAGCGGAAGATACGAAAAGAGTGCATCTATATCAGCCGAAGGTGCTACAGCACCTGCGATTGGCGCATCAGATGGGAAACAGGCACAGACGGGAGGCGTGCGCGCAACGCTCAGTCCCGCAATGGACATCCTTGTCTCAAGTAACTTTGAACGCCTACTCTGGTACCTCGCATTTGAAGGGACGGGTGGGAGGAACCGCGCTGCAGCTTGCGCGAGTGTCACCAACTGGATGAGCAAAGTGAAGTCTGATGGGCGTGTTGAGGTACCAATGGCTATTTTGGAGCTAGCGCGTCGTGACTTCATCGCTGAGCGTATATCTGATGAGCAGGTACGTGTACATCACTGCGCTCATCATCAGTGGTCCTGACCGACGGTATTTTAGACGCTCGAGACGATTCAATCTTTCTACAAGGCATCATCATCATACATCGCAGATCCGCACACCGCCGTAGGTCTTTCAGCTGCAAGTCTCATCGCCCCACAGAAGTATGTTATCCCTATTCCTCCAACATTCTCCCCCACTGACGTTCATATTATAGCCGCCCATCAGCAGTGCAGATTGTGCTAGCGACTGCACATCCTGCCAAATTCTCCGAAGCCGTCACGCAAGCGCTTGCGAGTGAACCAACTTTCAGCTTTGAACGTGACGTGCTACCCTCAGAGTTTAAGGGCCTTCTGGAGCGAGAGCGTCGGGTTATTAACGTAGATGCTGTAGATATTGAGCTAGTAAAAGCCGTCATTGAGAGTGTTGCACAGGAAAAGGAGTCTAATGGATCGGGAAAGCTAGCTGTTTGATTACACCTACTTGGACTAAGAAATGTAGAAATAGAGAATGCAGGAATATTGATGTCCTTCGACAGGAGTCTCTTCTATTGCAGTCGCTGGGACGAATAGAAATTAGATTTAGTACTTATGTCAGAATAACTCTATCTTATCTTATCTCTTCATTCAAATTTTAAAGTGTTCGAGAGACAGTGACTGAAACTGATGCAAGTAGTGTCCTTCCGCAATGACCGATGTAGTTCAGGAACTCCAGTCTCAAAAGAGACGTATAGTCGTCCTCATTTCCGGCTCAGGTCAGTTATTGTCACTTATAATGGACGCATCTACGCTGATTCCATCGTTCACCAATGCTTCTATCAGGCGCAAACCTGCAAGCACTCATCGATGCACAAAACACACCCGCCCTCCCTAACAGCGAGATCGCCCTCGTTCTCTCAAACCGCAAAGCCGCATACGGTCTCACACGCGCAATGAACGCCGTTCCGCCAATTCCAACGGCCTACCTCGCTCTCCAACCATACCTCAAGTCCCATCCAGACGCAACGCGTGTGGATTACGACCGAGAGATCGCCAAGATCGTTTTAGATGCAAAACCGGACCTCGTTGTACTCGCTGGATGGATGCATGTCCTTAGCGAGGCGTTCCTTGATCTTGTTGAAGAAGCTGCGAAGGAGAGGGGGAAGAGCATACCTGTGATCAACCTCCATCCTGCTTTACCTGGTGCCTTTGATGGTGCGAATGCGATTGAACGCGGATATGATGCGTTCCAGCGGGGTGAAGTCGATAAAGTCGGTGTTATGATACATCGGGTAATCAAGGAAGTCGACAGAGGGGAGCCGATAGTTGTGAGGGAGGTACCGCTTGCGAAAGAGGAACCATTAGAAGTCTTTGAGGAGAGGCTGCATAAAACGGAATGGGAGATAGTCGTCGAGGCGTCTGCAAAAGTTCTAGAAGAGACCCCATAAGTTATTGTGCTACTTCATAAAATGTAAGCAATGTGTATATGCGCTCGATTATCTCGATGGCTGTTTTGCAGATGATTTCGGTCGCTCAGGGTCTATTCTCCAAAATCCGTCGGTCCATTCTCAGCTTATTCCACAGGAGATTCCACTCCCTCGCGGTGTGGTATTAGGTTCAGTTCTTGGCAGCATTAATATTGTTATGTCCTTTCTCCAGATGCCGTCTGGAAGCCAAATATTGACTGCTTCTCATTGATCACACCGGTGCAGTTCATCTCCCTAAACTTGAAGGAAAACTACGCATCTATAAGCTTCTAGCTTGCCCGCGTAGTAAACAATAAATCTTCGAAAAGAATTTGTGTATTCCTTCACTGAACTGAATTCATTTCCAAGCCATCGTAGCCCCGCCCGCCACTATTCGTGGCCCTTTCATTCCACATCTCCTCTGAGTGTATTGGATATAGTATAAGCAACTAGGCATGTTTTGCCAATTCGAAGGCCGGAGTAGTACTTCGAACGTAAAACTCCTACACGAGCGACGATGCGGTCCTTGACACGGTAATCTCTGAGGTTGAGATGTCCTGTTCGGGTGTCTGTTATTGGGAGAAACGGTATCAGAAGTGTGTCTCAACGTGCATTAAAGTTGATTATACATCTTCAGAACTGGTGCAGTCCACGTCTACCCTGCATTCAATTGCTCTCGGTGCTGAGGACTGAATCAAATGCGTACAACTGTTTGATCCAATCTTAACAAAAATAACAGCAAGGAGCTTACCTTACGCGACCCAAACCTAGACCTTTCAAGCCTTTCACGAGATACAGAATGAATATCGTCCAGATGGATACTGACAAGCCCTCCATCACTGGAGAGATCTTCACGAAGACTCGAGCGAGCGTTTAACCTAAACATCATCTCAGTGGCAGAAAGCTGCAATAATATGCACTGCACTGACGAAGCAAGCATGCAGTTTACGTATACTAGTAGGTGTCAGTTACCAACAAATTCGTCATGGTAAGTAGGTAATGCTCACATTTGGGAATGACAAAGTCAACAAGGAGGTAAATCAGCGAATCAGGTTTCACGACAGCGCCGATCAAAGCCACTACTGCCCAGAGGCCTGTTATCAACCCGGTATTAATCGTATACAAAATGAGTCGCTGAACAACCGAATCCGTCTTCCTTACGCGAGAGCGATGCTTCCACAATAGGGAAACAAGGACGGCGGAGATGAAAAACTCCATAGCGGCGACAACAGCGTTCATTGCGCGTTCAGTATTGATGACGCTTAGAAGCTGTGTGAACTGGGTAAAGTGATAGATTTGTCCGAAATATGCGATGATAATCGAGAAATGGGCTAAAATAGCTGCAGAAAGTGCACCTATGACCAGCCAGTTGTTGTTACTCACTGTACAAAAGGATTTCAATGCTAATTTAAAATTGGAGTATTATTGCAGCTTACGGATCCATGCACGCATAAGCAGGAGCGACTGAACCATGGCATCAATGATGGCCGAAATAACCGCCTCATTGATTAGGATCCTGTTGACAAATGTTGCACTTCTATAAGTGTCAATAGCTAGAATAAAGGGAAAAGTCACCTCTGTGGGCGTGTCAGATAGAGTAAGTTCCCATAGTTCGACACGCAATACTTGTACAGCGCGATTACGAGAAGAATTTGATGTGCAGTATCAAGAGACCACACCAAAGAGGTGTATGCTTTAAGCCAAAGCTTTTCGGTTTTTGGGCATTTCTAAATGAGCCAGACATAAATACAACCGTTGTGATAGCTAGACATTTGGGTGGCTAACTTCGAAATAGTAATAAAGTTGAAGACAACCGATGCCCCAGAGCCTTGGTAGATGATGAGCCTCGAATGACACAATTGGTACATGCGACAACCTACGCTGTAGAAAAGCTAGAATACACAGAGTCAGTACAGTTAGTACCTTCTCATTCTAACCGGGAGGACGTACATGGCACCGAGAAATACATATCCCAGCTTCGTCATATTAATGTAACGCACGATTTGTCAAGAAAACCGACAACCTACCGTTTCGTCAAAGTCGAGTCGAGTAGGTATGGAAGCCATATCGAGTGGTTATCCTCCTCGATGAGCAGAACCACAGAGTCTGGTACACTCAACAGGCTGGATGAGTACGAGCGAAGATGAGTTTCTCATGAAGGATTCCTGTTCTTGTTTATTACAGATGAGGTTGCGAATAGCGTAAAGCTTCGCTCGGTTCGGTGATTGATACACTAAGTGTCCAAGAAGCGAACTCTCGCAATAGAGTAGTGAAGGATACTCGAAATAGGATGGATCCTCTTCCAGGCATGATGGAGAACGTGGGATTGACACCTTGGCGCTTGGAAGAGTCATTTTATGATCCGGAATGTACTTCTGTTGCAAATTAGGAAGACTTCCTAGCGCCTATCAAAGGATAGATGCTGAAGAAGTTTGGCCTTAGCAAGACTTGTTCAAGTCATGGTCATTGGTCACTTGAAATTGTTCGTGAAGGTAGAATCAGAGAACGACGAATTGTTGCAAAAAAGAAGGTTGTCAGGAAAAAGCATTGGTTGAAAGTGGTCCGCATGAACAGTAAGGTTTTCTCACGAACGTGCGGGATGGACTGCTTCATCAAAACTAGAATCAGAATTTGCACGGTTCTCGTTGTAAAAAGATTGCTTGCTGATCGGTGTTTCCCTAGTCAGTCGTGGCCATGCATATGCTTCTGAATCAGCAAGCTCTGCTGCGCACTGTGAGTGAATGCTATATTAGGAGGATGCCGTCCTTGTCGTAACCCATCTTATAGGTAATCGATTTAAACCGAGAAGGGACTGAGTTAGTGCCACGACAGTTCTGCACGATTCCGAATGAGACCCGGGTATATCTATATTTCTCGAGCAGTCCGGGGGCCGAGAGACAGTCTATCAATGCCTGTCAAGGTATGTATACTGTATCTTGCGATACAACAGCAGAATCTGCAGTTATTAAGACAGGGTAGAGCAAATAGAGCAAAGGATGCTGTTGGCCCGGTCATGACGCATGTGAGAGACAGTTTTTTTCCGTTGCATTTATACTATGGCTAACATGGCAGTTCACCAGTAGCTGCGAGAATTGCGTGGCAGGTAAGAGGAAGTCCGGTTGGCAACGAACAATCATTGTCCAAGGTAGGGTGCGGTGGATGTCCGTTCAACAACTTGGCAACAAGCAGTAGGTGGCAGAAATGTTCAAGTGACTACAGTTGAAAATACCTTATTGCATAACGTCGGGAGAAGCCTCAGACCTATGCAATATGAGCAATATGCATTATGGTAACTGTGTGAAAATATTACTTAATTAGGAATCCTAGATTCGATATTACTTTTCAATATATTCAAAGACATATACGCTATGACAAGAAAACTGGCACATATTTAGAGCATCAAGAAAGAAACATAAGACAAGAAAGAGTACAGTAAACATGTATATTACTATAAAGCTTAAGAAATAGTATGTAGCATGAGGAAATAGAGGCAGAATCCATAGAAACAAAAAGATGGAAAAAGCTAGTCAATGCAAATGATTTTCCCCCACATATCATGAAGAGATCTTTGCTGCTAGCTACCCATTTCTTTCCTGAAAAGCTTACTACAAAACTTGCAGAGTAGGTTTGTGAGTGTGAGTCCTGTTATAATGTCTGTATAATCAAGTGTAAGCTTCTCCAACATAATACAAAGTTCTTGTCCATCATGCAAAGAAATCTTCTTCTCTGGCTCATCAGCAATAGGTTCATCCTCACTGTCTGTATCATTATCCAGCTCATCCAAATCCATCCCTTACTCTATACAATGTTGTACTTCTTTAACAATATTAGTTTCTCTAAGAGTGTAAAGCTGTTCTAGCTCAGAACATTCCTTACATTCTTCCTCTGGGTTGAGAAGGTCCTTGAGGGTTAGTAGTGCTCTAATGATTCAACAGTACTGATAGAGGTTGTTTACTAATAACATAAGGTCCTTCTTGACTTGGACAAGCTACTCTAAGACTTTTGACAATCCTGTCCTGTCTAGAGAATATGCAACTGCTGACTGTTACTGAGGCTTTGGTGCATATTCTTCAACAGCTTTGATTGCAGCATTTACATCATCCTCTGTATTAAGTACAGTATTAATGATAGAAGCCTAGTCTGCAAAGTTGTAATCCTTGCTAAGACACTCTTAAAGGTACTGTTCAAGCTTAGGAACAGTCTGGATAGAACTACACACATATTCTCAAACAATGTTCCAAGCTTCCAGACATTGGCCAGCTGGAGACAGGGGGGGAGGGGGGGGACTCATTCAATCTGTAGTAAAGCTGTAAATAAACAAATGAACAACATGGTGAAAAATAAGATTGTTAAGGTTAGAGTAATTGACACAGTGAAAAATAAGATTGTTGAGGTTAGAACAATTGACACAGTGAAAAATAAAATTCAGGACATACCCTTTAATTCCAGCATAGTCCCAACAGTTTTTACTTGTAGACAGCTCAACACATTCCTAAGCAGTAGTTGCCATAAGTATTGCTTCAAGGAGGTTGATTTTGTAGATGTTATGTTTACTAGCTTCATTAAGATTGACTGTCTGTTGACAGAAAGCTTGTCAGTATAAGGCCTTAAGTGTATGTATGATGCTAGCATTAAGTGGCTGGACAAACAAGGTCATGTTTGGTGCAAAAAACTCAAGCCAGACGTTTGTTGGTTGGTACAGTGTACAGTGTCCTGAGAAATTATTGAGGAGGAGGAGAACATGATGTCCCTCACTCCTCATTTGTAAATCAAATGCCTACAACCATCTAGAAGAATGTTACACCAATTTTCAGTAAAGAATCCATGTTAGATATCAAGCCTGTAACTTACTGTTAGAATAAGCCCAAAGTCATCCAAGCTGATGAATTTGTATGATAATTCAAGCTATGTTCTTTTGCAGGTACATTAAGAAAGTACTAAGGCTTGAAATACTTACTTATAAACATCAGTTTGTACTTTCTTGAACCATTAGTATTACAGTAAACACTTATAGTTATTCTAAATTGACTGGTCTTCTTACCACTCATTTGCTTGGATACAAGCCTACAGTCTGGAGGAGCACTTCTGTAAAGTCAAATTACAATTTCAAAAAGAAGCTGTAGACCACTCACTAAGCAAAGAGGCCTGTCTTGTCAAAGTTGTAAGTATTCTCAGCTGTGTATTGTTGAAGTATAATGGAGATCCGGGCTCTTTCCTTGGCAACATCATCTTGATTTACAGAAGCTGCCTCTCTATGATGGCAGATACTCTTAAGTCCCTACCTGTAAAGTTGAGTTGTCTAATACAATTGACACAGTAAAGAATAAGATGCTATCAAAGTTGAGTTGTCTGATACAATTGACACAGTGAAGAATAAGATGCTATTGAAGTCAAGTTGTCAGATACAATCAACACAGTGAAGAATATAATTCAAGAACTTACATTTGTGTAAATGATTGGACCCATCCATGACTGGTCAAGCATTCTTCCTGAGGGACATTGAATGTGTTTTCAAAGCAGGCCTGTTTTTCAATGAGCATTACTCTGTTAACAAGTTTGTTTCTTGCTTCCATAGACTGCTGCCACATGACTAGAGCCTGTTTGACTTGTGGATTTGCAACAATATGAGGACATTTACTTGAGAGGGTAGTAGGGGTTTTTTTTGTGCAAGACTCAAGCTCTTGACAGTAGGCAATGTTTTGACAGAGAGAAGATTGAGTGAAGACAAGGGTACAATTGTAACAAGTACTGAAGTACTTAATGATTTCTCCTTGAGTAAAATTTGGGTGGTCATCTCAGAAGTTAAGAACCTCAAGCCAGTCAGCACATGTGAGGTGTATTCTCCTGTGCTTTATCTGAGCTGAGGACTTCACTTTCCTTTGAGATTCTCCAAGTCTAGGACCAGGCTTTACTTTGTAAGGCCCCTTTCTTGTCTGCTTTAGCTTTCCTACAGACATACAAATGTGTGTTTTGTATGTTTCATGTCAAGTTTAAGACTTATATATTTTTTCTTAATTTTCTTTCATTTTTCTGAGTGTCAGTTGTCTTGGTCTTGTGGCAGCATCAAAGACATTGTAAGCAATAAAATGTCAATCGGAAACATGATTTTTGTATTGAAGTACATCAAAGAACAACATGTGGAGCTTCTGGATGCAGAAAACACTTCAGAAAGTAGTCTAATTTCCCAAAATGCTCTTAATTTTGCATAATTTTCCCACAAATCTTGATGCAATATGCAATAGGCTATTTTTGTGCATAATTCCCTTATCCCAAGCCGGGATAAGGCACAAAGCTATGCAATATTCAATTTATGCATCATGATGTGATGCAATAAGGTATTTTCAACTGTATCTGATAAAAAGAGCGTGAGAGAAACTCCCTTATCTGCACGTGTCGCGGTTCTTGTCATATTGGCGAAGCACAACTACTTTACTACATTCGCCCTTTCTTGCCTTGTGTCGGTTTGCATGCTTGCTGGCTGCCTGCACTCTACCGTGTCTTCTCTCACGACCACCATGTCAGACGTTTGCGAGCCGGTAGGTACAGCCGATGTGGGGTAGCGTATCCTCTAACTATCTTTTCTGTAGCACCACGACTTGTGGGGAACACTGCTCACTCTAAGCCTCATAGTTGGTCTCTTCGCGTCCTATGTCCCGCAGGTTCGCATTCCACCTTGAATGCTCAGCCGGAAACTTATACGCAACCTTTAACAGCATTTCAAGATAATAAACAAAGGTTCTTCTGAAGGCTTTAGCCCATGGTTTCTGCTTCTCGGTGCTACTTCTTCCGCAGCTGGAATGTTAAACATGTACGCGTCACATTTCAGAACAGTACAAGTCTGAAAAGACTTATGTTACTTAGGTGGACGATGCAATGGAACGTTGTGCGATGCTGTCGTTATCTTGTGCGTTTCCCTGCATTTATCGTAAACACTGCTACTGAATTCTTAATGTAGAGCACGGGTAACTGCATGGAATCTTTCGGGGGTATCATACAGGTTTCACTGCAGTGGCTCCTTTTCAACGTGATGTACGTTGCAATTCCTCGTGCACTTACAATTTTTGCACCTATTAAGCACCTATTAAACTGGCACTATCTTCTAGCCAAATACTATACATTATATATTATCCACCGCACCTCAAGTATAAGATCATTGACGTCTCAGGGGGTGACATCCTAGTGAAAACGAACATGAAGACATCACATTGGCGCACATCAGTCGTATTGGCTTGTTCTGTTGCATTACACATGTTTGTCCCTTCCCTTCCCAACTCCACATGATATGCTTTCATAAAACTAACAATCCCAACCATCACACAGGGTGGTCTGCACGTTTGTGACTTTTGGTCTACTTCTCTCGACAAAGGTAGACCTCCCTGCAAGTCCCGCAAGTGATCCACGCATAGCAAGTTGGGCGAAATTCCTTGGCCTCACATCTGCTGCACTTGCTGCGATCCAATACGTACCGCAGCTCACCCACACGTTTCGACTTAAGCTGGTCGGCGCACTGAGTATACCCATGATGATCATCCAAAGCCCTGGTTCGGCACTAATGGTCATCTCCATCGCTATGAGGTGTGTCACGATTAATCATAGTATCCGACTGTACCTCATGTGTATTTATGTTCTTTGCTAGGCCAGGAACAGACTGGACGAGTGAGCCGCGCCTTCATTATATGGACAAAAATTAACATCATAACTAATTTCCGCTTATGAAGGCTGGATTATGTTCGCCGTCTCTGGCGTTATGCAGGCCATCCTCTTACTCATGTGCATAGCCTGGAAGATCCGACAACATCGTCTCAACATAGACGATTTCGGTCATCCTCATCCTCCTACACCCACAGAAATCGCTCAAGCCGAAGAACTTCATGCGGAGGAAGCCGAAGAAGAGTTGGGAGGACAAGCACAAACCGTACCAGACGAAGAGATTGTTCGCGCGATGCTGGGAGAAGACACCCCGTTGTTGAAGAATGGTAGACGACGTGGAAAGAAGCAGAGATCGACGTCGAGCATCTTGAAGGGCTTCCTTAGATAGATTGAACATGTAGACTTTTAAGAGGCTATCCTGGGCTTACTAGTCCCTCTGCAGGTTCCGAGCTTAACGACGTGCCTTTCGTCGAGCTTTCTGTATTACATGCTTTCATTTCTGATGGGAGATTTATACTTAGGTTTAATACTGAATACAATCAGGATAGTTCAATACGAAACTAGTACTTCCGTCCACACCGGGGAGTCAATCATTAATAACTGGTCAAGAAAGTAGGCTTAATGGGATACAGATACATAATGTGCATCGGGATGGGAATTCAACTAAATATATCGTGCGCTTTTTGAGACAATTCGGCAGTACACAGTACTCAGTCAACTAAATCTACCAAGCTGATTCGCTGAAGCGAGTACATATAAGTAACCCATGAAGCAAGACCGACACAACAAACACCAAAGGAATAAATGAAAGAATAAACAAACACAACGGCCTCAAATTCGAGAGGGCAGTGATGTGAGGTTCAAGGTAAAGCCCCCACAAAGATAGGGTAGCAATAAGCAAAACGAGTCGAAATAGGGGTCATGTACATACATACATATAGTCAAGAAGTGGTCGAAAAAAAGGTATCAAAGGTAATCGTGTGGTATAAGGCAGTACAATGCAGTCCGAACGCCCGAAGACGGCTGAATGATATATACAAAGAAAGATAAGAAAATAAAGTAGTATTTGGTCTGATGGTGAGGGAAATAGGGGAAAGGCAAGGGCGTGCGTAGTGAATCAAAAGTGGTGCATATTATATAAGAACTGTCCAGTCGAGAGGTATGTAAATGTCGAAAAGAGCGTGAGGAAGGTTGGATGAGATGTCGTCGATTCTTCAGAGGAAAAGCGACGTGTCAAGGTCGTGTCCGAAGTCTAGAACGACCACTTTCTGGTCGTGCGACGTGCTAGAAATTCATAGAAGGGTTAGCCATATCAGTTATCCGAAAAGAGAAAAGAAACGGAATAGGAGGAGGGGAGAGGGCATTAAAGTTCATACCTCACAATTCGTCGCACGTCAAACTTCACGTCAAAAATATGGCTGTCATGCGTTTGAAACTCACGCATGAGCCGATGTGTAGTCGGGTCGCGTAAATCCCAGACCTTCACCGTCTTGTCATAGCTGGCACTCACCAGCCGCCCAGTACGTGCATCGTATGCCAAGGCACGTACGAGTAGCGAATGTCCAGGGAGTGTCTGCAGACAAGTACCTGTCGATGCGCGCCATACCTTGATCTTGCAGTCATTCGAACCTGAAACTATCACATCTCCCTAAACAGAACAGTTAATATAAGGGGAAAGAGAGGGAACGGCACGAGAAAAAAGAGGGTACCTTGAAGTCAATGCAGGCAAGTCCACGGTCGTGGCCCTCAAACGTACGGATTCGTGAGCCGGTCGCAATGTCCCATAGCATCATCTTGCCATCTCCACTAGCGCTAACGACTTTACCATCCTGCAATCCAATGGCATTCACAGGTCCCTCATGACCTTGCAAGGTTTGTGCAAGCTCCAATGTCTTGCGGTCCCATACGCGGATCAATCCATCTTTAGAGCTGTCAAAAAGCTCGGCGTAAGTATTCTAGACTCGGGAAAGTAAGAAAATGAGAGCCAAACTGACCAGCTGACGATCCACTGCTTGTTAATTCGCAAGTCGAGAACCCCTCCTAGATGGCCGCGCAGAACTCGCTTCACGAGCTCCGGACCGGCATTGACTGGGTTCCCGCCTGTCTTCGAAGCAATACTAGCCCGCCATAGGCTACGGAGGTCCCACACAAGGACAGTGCAGTCACTGCTTCCGGATACCATGAACCCCTCGCCATCGTCCTCTTGATCATCTTCGTCGCTCGAATCCGCTCGAGCCATCGCAATCTTATCAAATTTGAGACAAAGAACACTGCCTGCGTGCCCACGCAATGTTGCCCGCAAGCGACCTGTACGCAAGTCCCACACCTTGATTGCGCGGTCGCGCGAGCCAGTAACAAGCCACCTCGCGTCAAACTCAAGGCAATACACGCTGTCTGTATGACCCGCAATTCTCGTTATGCGGGGCTCTGAATATGCCCAGCGTTTATCCAACTCTAAACGAGTGCGGTAAAGGTGTGTCCAGTCAAATCCTAAGGGAGCAAGAGACGTGAGACTCGGTCGTGCGTGAGACTCCGACGTATTGCGTGTAGCAACACTGGACAGTGACAGCAATCGATTGCGTGTCCCATTATTGTCCTGTTCTTGCTGAGCCGCGATAAGAAGTCGGGCTTTCTTCTCGTGTATCCGCCACCCCCTTTCTTCAATTTCCCGATAGAACAGGGCGCGCCACACAAGGGGGTCATCAGCCAAGTCCTTCCACTGCCGACAGACACGTCGGCACGCTAGTACCGAGCTAAGATCCAGTTCCGCAAGAATACTAAGCGATAGCTCATAAGGCAAGGATCCGATTATGTCTATAAGAGAAAAGTCAAATATTATTCCGTGAATTTCGCCAGGCGCTACATACCCATGCCGATTGTGGGCCTCGCAGCAATAAAACACGCCTCATCGATGAGTTCTCCCTCTTCACCGTCGAGGGGCAAACCATCAAAGACGACCTGGCATTTAGTCCGCGACCGCCTGGCTGGAGATGAGAGAGCGTCCCAAATACGTCCCAGTGCAGCCTTGGGAAGCTTCGGAGAGCGACGCATTGAGCCGCTAGCCTTTGCAGGAGAGATAAACAAAGTACAGTTTGGAGTGCCTTCCGGGCCCGATGTAGGCGAAGAAAAAACGTCGTAAAGGCCGCCTGATACGTGTTGCGGTAGAATATGTACAAAGGACATGGGTGAGGGCGGCGAAATGAACGAGAAGTCTGCTGTTGGTGCGGGGGATGGCGGGCGTGTTACGGTCTCTTCATTGAGCACCTCTGAGAACGAGCCATCGACCATAACGATGTTGCCTTCGTTGCTTCCACTAGGGCTGCGGTTGTCAGACTTTGCTCCATTGAGAACCGCGCCAAGCAACTTGCTGATTCGCAGCGCTCGCGGAGTCGGAATGTTGAGTGTTATGTTCCTGGTGGTATCTTCTCCGTTCATGGTACGATTGGGAAGTGAGTATGCGTCGGAATCGGAAGTGGACAAGAAGTGCTTCGTCGGTAGCTTTGGACGGACTGGAGTATTCCTGGACGCAGAGCGGCGTCCAAGAGAGGCACTCATCAAAGGCCTCGGCGTCGAAGGTGTCGAAGGACCAGCTAAAGGAGAGGTGGCAGCCATAGGGAAGGTGACGAGCGACGTGAACGTGGAATAAATACAATAGTGAAGCAACGACCCAAACCCAACCGAAAGTTGTTTTTTAGACAATCGTGACGCAGATCACGTGCTGCTGTTCAGACTTGGTTCCCAGTCAAGGAAATGAATATTATAAACAACGACTTCATTGACGTCGACTAGCAAAATCATTTATTAAAAAAAAGTAGCGACCTAAATTTGCCGACAACAAATATTTCTAGTATTGACATCTCATCGTTGCTCATTCCTGCAACGTCTGGTTTGAACTTGGTTGGAAAGGCTCACCAGCCTGCACGTGACCTGTCCTTGGGTATCATATCGACCACCATGTCGAGTGCCGACGACCCAAGAGATGCTAGTCTTGAAGTGAAACTGACCCTCCCGAATACATGGACTACCTCTGTGACAGGTAGTTACCGTGCTCGCATATTCGCATTTCGGGCTAATGCTGACATGTCTTCCCTTGTTCTGCAGACAGCTTTTCTGTCTCGAGCATGTTGCTGGCAGGTGCAGTCATGGTAACTCGTAATAGGCGCGTTCTGTCACCGCCAGTTGTGCACAGTGCGACTTATACGATTTGTTCTCCCTTAGGTTCCTTGCATGGCCTGCTATGCTGCTCGGCATTAGCGGGTTCTTCAACCAGCACCCTCTTCGTTCAAAGGAGTCTGGGCCTTCATGGCAGAGTCTTATGTGCGTCTTCTTACACGTCTTTCCCGGCTTTCTATGCATTTGCGTGCTGATTCTCCACTCTTCTATTGGCTTTTTAAGCTCGGGCGTATCTGCTTTGATTATGTCGTACCTGCCCATGGTCCTCGTTGCGAAGCCACCCATGCAGGTGCCCCTGGAGCAGACGGCATGATGCTGCTGCGATCCGGGGCACCTTTATTTTAGGTGTGTTTATTCACTTGTTGTTTTTGTCCCGCGGCTTCTGGGTTCTTACTGATGAATCCTTGTATTGCAAAGTCTGCCGAGTCGATATTGTATCTAAGTTAATGTTCATTAACGCCGTCCGTACTATCCTGTATACGGAGTGACTGCAGTTTGAATATACCGCACTTTCTTGCGGGAACCCCGTGTCTCGCGTGTTTGCCATTTTGTCGGGTTGAGTCGAGGTCGGAAGATCCGTTCAGCCATGTGTGTGAGCCGAACCGAGGGTATGAAGAGGACATCGCGTGCTTGCTTCAGTGTTTGTTTCCATCTATGGATTTACTCCCTTCGGAGGAGCCGCGCCTTGGCATGCATGCCTTTACACATTTATTTATATCAATGGATATATTTCACGACAAGCTTTTGCCCAGTCCACTCGGCCGTTCCCTCTTTTACCGCGCTCATTTCACCTGCCCGTCTTAATCCTTTTCGGCTGCAGTTGCACACAAAGCAGCCAGTAACAGAGCGAGCTTATCTGTATTCATATTGGCGAAGCACATCTACTTTACTACCTTTCCGTGAACTTCTCCGGCACGCTTTGTCCCTCCCACATGGCCATCCGATAGCCGATTCACGAAAAGAAAATCATATCATAGCCTTCCTCCACTTACGCCAAGCCGCACAGATATGTTCTGCGGTGAACATGTCAAATATTCTCTCACGAGAGAACTTGAGCGTGGGCAAACTACATCATCCCATCATGCGATGAACGAACAGCATTTCTCGCGCTACTTCAAACCTACGTGTGAATTTGATATTGATATTGCGCAGTCTAAAGAAAAGGACCAATCCAACTCTTGGTTATTTTGCCGTTGTCTTCTTTCCCTTGCTTTACCCAACGTTTATTTCGTACACAGCAAGCACCTTCTGCCATCGAAGGCTTCGCTAACTTGACTTTACTTTGGCTTGAATTTGAGAAGCTATGGCGTTCCGTCGATCGGAGCGTCGGAAACCAAACTCCGCTAACGTTCGCATGCTGCAGAAATTCAATATGAACATATCTGAACAATACCTATCGGACAAGACGGAGGAAGTCTGAGACCACGTTTTGTGCATGCTTAAACGATAACCTGGACGATCTATTAACATCGAACATTCAACTAGAAAGGCTACAAAATACATAATTCCGTAGAAAAAGGAACATCCAAAACTTCCCCAGACGTTAATATTGCCACTGGCGCCATCCGAATTCCAATACACTCCTCCTTCACCTCGCACAATTTGTTCTTCGGCTTCCGTCTTATGATAATATTAAATGTTTGTTCCAATATGTGTTACAAATAGTGGCTCCTGGAGAAAAGCGAAATGAATTACGATTTACGAAAACATCATAAGTTGCCAGGAATGCATTGAGACGCACATGTGCCTTGCTCGCTACGCACAAGCCGCCCTTCTAATTCAAGTGCAATCACTCCGCTTGCCGTAAGTCGCTTTTGGCTAGCGATCCTCCACCCACGGAGTGTTTCAGGGTCGAGGCGGTATGATGGGGTGAGAAGCCACGTCCTCCGCGCAGATCGCGTGGACGTTAGCTGGATTCTTCCATATACATGTCTAAGTAAGAAACCTCTAATCCTTGACAAGAAAATAGTCAAATAAGCTCAACAAGTCCAGCGAAGGCTGTAAATTAACGTATTATTAATCACCAGCCGCGATCCGACTCCGAAACAGTTCCAAGTATGTATTTATACATGAACCGATTCAGAGATCGAGAACCTGCTGTCTGGCGGCGCAAGAAGGGAAAGAGAAGGAAGAGAGGTTCCAGTGATCATGAGACGTGTGTCAATGCAAGGCGACACATGAACTCCTTTTGGGTGGTATCTATCGCACCTCATAACCCAAGGCACCGCATTTCACATTGCACCGCTGGCGCGCTCGGATACCCAAAATAAGTGAGGGCAGGGAAACTTGTCGTAAGGTTAAAAGCGGCAAACAAATTCTTGCATAGAAGTCCAACGAAATTGTGGACGATGCTGGCTTTTGTGTTTACTTATCTAAGTATGTATATATTAGTATAAATGTATATACCTCGGCAGCGGAGGGTAGGAAGGTAAAGAAGAAACGCCTAAAATTTTCTTTGAATCATGGCAGATGCCATACTGAAATCAACTCCCGCCGGTGGATCGGTGGGCGTATGCTTCCAGGCTCAAAAACCCCTAATCCCCCTTCCCGCCGTATGTCCTTAGCAAACTCGTATTTATTATCTTCCCTCGAGCCATACACCTCCGTCTTCCTTTCCCCCACCCCGCATCCTCCTATACTTCCTCTTCCACCCTTAGGCTTCGTCTTCTTTCTTTCTACGTCTTGCATTCCTTATGTCTTCGAGCAATTCTCAAGGAGGCTGTTCGCGTTCTTCTGGACGGGATAATTGCACAAAGAGGCCGTGGGTCGACCCTGCAGCGCTCCCAAGCGCTGACTATACAATGCTTGCATACCCGGATGCCAGAGAGATCGGTGGGAATGCGCCAAGTCGAGTAAAACAACTCGCTCTAAACACGTTCGCATCGTATGGAGTCGGTGACGCAGCAGCTTTCGGACACGCCGCAGGTCGAAAAGTACGCTTTGTTCGCATCGATGTTGACGGTCCGAGGTGTTCCGATAGTTCAGCCCATGGACGGAAAGGAGATAACCGAGGAGGCGTGCATGAAGGAGGGGACTCGGTGACGTCGGCGACTGCAGTGGCAGAATTAGTCGTCGATAAATGTGAGTATGTCGTAATGCGATCTCCTTTGTCGACCATGTGGTATATCAAGATCCGGCGACTGATTAACATTGCAGCAATGGTAAACGGGAACGAGATGATGCATGGAGGGTGTATAGCCTATCTCATCGATAAGTTCGTCCTGAAGAATACCTCTTCTGCTCGTTTAATCGCACATGATACAAGGCTTAACTCCTCCGAATGTATAGCTGCGGGAGTGTTCCACTAGTCGTGCTCGGATTGTTACGAGGAAAGAATGGTGTCGGTGTTACACAAGCGCTGAATATCCTCTTCCATGCCCCGGCGCCACTGTTCGTACCCCTTAAACCTCATCAGACAGGGAAATTGACGTCCCGATTGGATATAGTGGATCAACGTTGGAAATTATCAGCACGTCCTTAGCTCTCGGCGGACGATCCATGACATCTAAATGCGAGGTACGTGTGTTGACTGACTCCGGTAAAGATACCGGAGTAACTTCACCCGACGGACTGTTTAATTATTCATTGCCTTGCTACCCCAGATATTCAATAAATCATCTGGTCGACTCGTCGCATCTGCTTTCTTGAACAAAATGGAGCCGAAGTTGTAAAATGACATGCAAACAAAAAATGCGCAACATACTGTACAAATGTATCCTTTACTGCAGTGTAGGTCCCTGGCAATGTAATAATACACCCCACTTCACGCATTAGAGCGCCTTCTCACGTGGTCCGTTCCTTCTGCACGCTTTGTTGCCGAAGCTCCGCCGCTCGGAATGCTCGTCCGGCGCGACTGCAGTTCTCTCGACCAAGCTGCTCCGAAATCCAAAATCCAGTATCGACGAGGTAACGGAGATCTCCGGCTACCTCATAGCCCGAGTCTCTCAAGGCATGAAGGACGTCTTCCGTGGCTACATTCCCAGTTGCGCCAGGAGAATATGGACATCCACCAAGGCCCGCGACCGATGAATCAAATGTTCGTATCCCTGCTGACAGCGCCGCGAAAATGTTCGCAACCGCCGTCCCGAAAGTGTCGTGGAACTGGAGGGAGTCAATACCACATTCGTCCGGTCTATATAGCACTACTCACATGTCCCTAACGTGTGTCGTCTCGTTAATTAACGCGTAAATCACAAGCAAATATTGCACTTACAGCGAGATTCCGAACTGGTATAGTGCTTGATACCACTGAGAGCATATCAAGGACAGACGCAGGCGTACCCGTTCCGGTCGTGTCTCCAAGACTTACTTCATAGCAACCCATGTCCAGCAGTGCACGGCTAACGTCGCGGACGCGCTTATAGTCTGCACGACCTGAATAAGGACATGTGATGACCACACTGACATAACCCCGTACTCGAAGGCCAGCTGCTGCGGCTCGTTCAACTACTGGTGCAAGACGTTCTAGGGACTCCTTTACTGTACAATTCGTATTTGCACGGCTGAATGCATCAGTCGCTGCACTGAAGACAGCAATTTCATTCACCCTCGGCAGTGTGTCCGGTTTCGACGGAGAAGCCAAGAGTCTAAGGAGATCATCCAAACCTCGTGTATTCGGCACAAGTACAGGGTAATGTACGCCAGGGAGCCGCTCCATTTGCGAAAGAACATCTGCGGTACCTGCCATCTGTAGTTGTACATATTAAAAATACTGCCGCTCCTCGTTGTACATTCTAGACTGACTTGAGGAACCCATTTCGGACTAACAAAGCTGCCGGACTCAATCGACTTTAAACCTGCTCTTCCAAGTCGGTTAATGAGTTCGACCTTGACGGCGGGCGGGATCACTGCTTTCTCATTTTGAAGACCGTCCCGGGGTCCGACCTCGACGATATTGACAAAATTTGGATTCCTCGAGGTGGTGGCTAGAGAGCGCCTGGCAGCTAGCAATGAACCTATGCGCCGACGAAGAGCGTTCATGGGAGTTCAGTCCAAGATTATGCGTTGCCGACTCCGATGTATTATGTAATGAACAGCTGATTGTAATCGTGTGAATATTCCCACGACTAGTACTCTCGCATTCCCGCACGGCGCAGACGTGTTACGCTGTACACGCCTTGCTATACCACACACCCTGCTTGATTGCTATTGCCACTGCTATCGCTCACTCACTTTTGTCATTTCTTGGCGCTTGTTTCTCTTTTGTACCCTGTCGTTGAACTTGCCTAACAACCTTGGGGGGACAGTCCGTGGCGGAACCTCAAGCGGTGATGCTACCAGTGCACCATGACCCCGCTCTTCCGACTCACTAATGCGCTATTGACTACCGTTACTCTTCTGTCTGCATGTCTGGCAGAGAAGCTTGCACTCAGAAATGTAATCCAGGAGAGAAAGCTTTCTTTGGATCCAATCGAACAATACCACTTTCTTCCGCCCGTACAAACCTCACACGGCAACGGAGCTAATGAAGAGCTCGAGCTGCTTGACATATGCCTCGTTGCGTCTGTGGATGGAAAGTTTCATGCATTGAACCGATCATCCGGCCAGGTGCTGTGGTCGATGGGCGCATCAACTGGGACGGAATTTCCTTCTGCACTTGCACCACTCATCCGCACACAACATGTTGATCCAGATCCAGTGCACGATGGCAGTGAATCTAAGGAGCTTTATATTATCGAGCCTCAGTCAGGAGATATATATGTTCTTCCAAAGGAGGATGAGCCATTGCAACGATTGCCTTTCTCTATGACACAGCTAGTGGATATGTCGCCATTCTACTTTTCGGGCGACGACGAACACCGCGTCTTTGTCGGAAAGAAGCAAACGTCGCTGCTAATTCTTGAACTAGAAATCGGCCGTTTGAAGGGTACTATAAATGCGGACTCTGAATGTCCTTGGGATCCGTTTGGTGATTTGGATAAGGAGCAACAGTCAAGTGCGGAGGTGGATTTGGACGAGCTAGACGGCACGAAGCCACCGAAAGTGATGCCAGTGTCCACCGAGATTCTCATTGGCAGGACAGGTACGCTGTTTTATCGTCCTTTTGAAGTCGAGTAACATTAGTCATAGATTATCATGTTTCAATCCAAACTCGACCTCGCAATCCTTCCGAGCCTCGACCACCAGTTCAGAATCTGACATTCTCAACTTACGGGCCAAACAATCAAGACTTGCCTATGCAGGCGACATACAGACGAACTCCGGACGATACATACATACAGTCGACGGCAGCGGGCGAAATCATGTCTTTTCGGACGTCAAGTGAACGGTCCGATTCGTTGCCAATCTGGGGAATGACGTTCAAGAGTCCCATCGTCGCCGTGTTCGATATTTTGCAGGCGCCGGACCGACAAAGCCCTATGGCTTTGCTACAGCCTCAACCTCGTCTGCAGGACTTCATCCCCAACTTTTCGAGTGGGTCGAACTTAGATGTTGGCCAGACGTACATCGGAATGATCTCCGAAAACCGTGCGCTCTATGCGCTTAGCCCTGCGCACTTCCCGCTTGCCGTCTTCGCTCCAGACAACTATAGATTTGTGGAAAAGAAACGTCTGAGAACAATTGATGCTCCTCCTGGCTACATGCCAGAGCCCGGAGATGGTGGACGTGACTTCCCACTTAGTGTTGATGACGTGACTCGTCTTTTGAAGGATCGAGCACGATGTGCTAATGGGAAGTGGGACCGATCGTGCGTCGTTGGTGCCCGGCCTGTTGCTGCTGCAGACCAAAGCCGCCTTAGTCGCCTTCTGCCCGACCGCCCATACGAGCCAGAGGCTCCGAAAGTCCATGACAATCCACCTCAGTTTGGCTCAGGGAGTCTGGGGAATGAAAGTCAACTAGTCCATGAGAACGAACAGATAGGAGATGGACTTGCTCGACAGGCAAGAGCTTTTGGTGGAAGTGTAATGGCACTTGTCATTTTCTTCCTTGGAATTTATTATCTCTCACGAAAGGCAAGAAATGGGAGGGAGGGCGAAAAGACGTCGATTAGTTCTTCCGGCTCCTTTAAACAAGACGAACCATTCGAACGACTTAACGAGCTTGCAGAAGGTGGTGTGAAGGTTGTAGACTTTGCAGAGTCTAAACCGCTTCCCGCTCTCCCTGAACTGGCATCCGATGGGCCAGTTAGTCCACCCTCGACGAACTCGGACGACTTTGTCATCGTTCCTCCAGCTCAAATTCCTGCGATATCTGAGATGCTGCCGTCAAGTAAACCTAAAGCGGCCGAGGCTATTGGGGATGGCGATGGCGATGACGATAGTGGTCACGAGGGAGACAACGCAGCTGTTCCAGGCCGAAAGAAGGTGACAAGACGAAGAAAGCGAGGAAAGAAGAATAAGGGGAATGCTGTTGTAAACGGTGCAGATGATGAAGGAGAAAATAACTGCGAAGAAAATGTGGCTCAGGAAGGACCTACACTTACGGCTCCACCATTAACGCCATCCCCCTCTATGCGAGGTTCCCAATCGCAACAACTCGTAGTGTCTGACGAGGTGTTAGGTAATGCGTTACTTTATTTTTATTCGTTCCCTTTTAACGATCGTTCTTAGGGTATGGCTCGCATGGCACCGTTGTCTACCGTGGTTCGTTGCAGGGACGTCCGGTAGCAGTCAAGCGCCTACTGCAAGATTTCGTGACGCTCGCCTCTCGAGAGGTGATGATCCTGCAGGAATCCGACGACCATCCAAACGTCATTCGCTATTACTATCAAGAGTCGCATGCAAACTTCCTTTACATAGCCCTAGAGCTCTGTCCTGCGTCTTTGGCGGATGTCATAGAGCATCCAGACTTACATCGCGAGTTATCAAATGCATTCGATCCGAAACGCGCACTTCAACAGATTGCGTCTGGGATGCGGCACCTACACGCTTTGAAGATCGTGCACCGTGACATCAAGCCGCAAAACATTCTCATTTCATCTGCAAAGCGTGGTGCGGGTGCGATGGCTGGACATCGGATGCTGATATCCGACTTTGGGCTATGCAAGCGACTAGAAGTTGACCAAACGAGTTTCTTGCCTACAGCTCATGGCGCAGGTGCCGCTGGGACTGTGGGTTGGCGAGCGCCCGAAATTCTTCGTGGAGATGTCAACCTTGACGAGCCAACCGTAGATGATTCGACACAGTCATCACGAGGTAGTAGTGTCGGTACTGCTACGAACGGAACTGTGCCCAAGCCGACTAGATTGACGAAGGCAGTTGATATCTTTGCACTCGGCTGCCTCTTTTACTACATCCTAACAAGTGGTGGACATCCATTTGGCGATCGTTACGAGCGAGAAGCAAATATTCTCAAAGATACTAAATCGCTCTCTGCTTTGGAGTCATTCGGTGAAGAAGGCCTAGAAGCAATAGATCTTATCTCATTTATGTTAGACCCTGACCCTTCGAAGAGGTATATGTGGATGAACCATCTAAGAACTATCGATATACTGACCAGGCGTTTTATAGACCGGACACATCAACTTGTCTTACCCATCCATTCTTTTGGAACGCAGCCCGACGATTGGCATTCCTCCAGGATGCTTCAGACCGATTCGAAATCATGTGCAGGGACCCACGGGATCCCGACCTTATCGAACTTGAAAAGGGCGCGTACCGTGTCGTTGGTAATGATTGGCAGAGCCGATTAGACAAAGTCTTCCTCGACAACCTTGGAAAATTCAGGAAGTATGATGGAAAATCCGTACAAGACCTCATGCGTGCTTTGCGGAATAAGGTATGTCCTCACTTGACAAATAATTGGTGTGGATACAGAGGTTGACGGGTGGTGAATAGAAACACCATTATCAAGATCTCCCGGATAACGTAAAACGACACCTCGGTCCTTTGCCGGATGGTTTCTTGTCGTACTTTACGCGCCGATTCCCTCAACTCTTCATGCACGTTCATTCTGTCATCTCACGGACTAATCTTCGCTACGAGTCCATGTTCAGATCCTATTTCGAGCTTTCCGACTGAACCACCCATATTCTTATTTGTTACTCCGCTACTCTTTGCTCTTGTCGTTTAATTACATATCTCCTGGAACATCCATCTCAAGCATTGACATCATCTGTGCCCCCTCTTGCATAAATCCAACAACTAAATCCCAAATATTGCAGCACGCTTCCTTATTTTGCATTCATTATTTGCTTTCGGTGGACTAGGTTTTCCTCTTTGTATTTGTATGTGGTCTCATCTACGTACCGTATCTCTGTATTACTTTTCCTGTTTGAATTAGTCAACGACATGGCGATTTATGAAAATTCTATACTTTGGGTTTTGGAATTGAAGTTATTATTGTAAAAGGCGACAGAGACACTCCCACGATCACGCTATGGAATTTGTCACCTGACCGACTTGTACTCAAGTCTCGAGTCTGCAAACGATTGCCAGGCAGCTCATCGTCGTCCACAAAATGGCAAGTCTCGTCGCCATCCTTGACCTCAAAGGAAAGCCACTCATACAACGGTCATACCGAGATGACGTACCGGCATCATACGTCGAGCGTTTCCTGCCGCTTGTTCTAGATATCGAGGAGGAGGGTCAACAAGTTACGCCTTGCTTCTCGAGCCAAGGGATAAACTACATGCATGTTAGGCATAGTAATCTATATCGTGCGTTGTGTTGGCATTTTCTTCTATCACATTGCTGAGTCCATGTAGTCCTTGCGCTCTCCAAACGTAACACGAATGCGGCCGAGATCATCATCTTCCTTCACCGACTTTCATCTGTGCTCGTAGAATACTTCAAGGAACTCGAAGAGGAATCCATACGGGACAACTTTGTCATAATTTATGAGCTCCTAGATGAGATGATGGACTTTGGCTACCCACAGACGACCGAGAGTAAAATTCTGCAGGAGTGCGTATACCGATTTGTGAGGAAGAACGACGTGTTTACATGTCTTTAGATACATCACACAAGAATCGCATCAATTAGAGGTCCAGGTTCGTCCTCCAATGGCAGTAACCAATGCTGTGTCATGGCGGTCGGAGGGCATCCGTTATCGTAAGAACGAGGTGTTCTTAGACGTGATCGAGAGTGTCAATATGCTTGTATGTTCATTGCAAGGTATTCGTGTCTTCACGGTGCTAACTTGTTGTAGGTCAACGCCAACGGGAACGTGATTAGGTCAGAAATTCTCGGTGCTATCAAGATGAAATGTTATCTATCCGGTATGCCCGAACTTCGCCTCGGGTTAAATGACAAAGTAATGTTTGAAAGTACCGGTCGAAGTAAGCCGACAGACATAAGCTCATAATCGTTCTGCCTACTTAGTACTTGTCATACAGCTGCCAGGGGAAAGGCGATTGAGATGGAGGATGTCAAGTTCCACCAATGCGTACGATTATCTCGATTTGAGAACGACCGAACAATCTCCTTCATTCCACCAGACGGTGAATTCGAGCTGATGTCTTACCGACTCAGTACACCAGTCAAACCACTCATATGGGCCGAGGCCTCGATTGAAAGTCACAAAGGCTCACGAATCGAGTACGTCGTAAAGGTGAAGGCGCAGTTCAAACGACGCAGCACTGCAAACGGAGTTGAGATCTATGTACCCGTTCCCGATGATGCGAGTTCACCGCGATTCCGCGCTGCGACAGGTTCAGTGCATTATGCTCCAGACAAAAGCGCTTTCGTTTGGAAGATCAAGCAGCTCGCGGGCGGGCGCGAATTCCTTATGAAAGCCCACTTTTCGCTACCGAGTGTGCGAAGTGGTACGTACACATCCTATAGCTGTGGCTGTGATTCTCAGACTGATGATAGACTTAATGTTTCAGAAAACGAACAAGAACGGCGAGCACCGATTACCATCAAGTTTGAAATCCCTTACTTTACTGTCTCTGGTATCCAAGTTCGATATCTTAAGATCGTCGAGAAGAGCGGTTACCAAGCTCTACCCTGGGTACGTTATATCACGCAACATGGCGACGACTATAGGTGCGTTTGCGTCATTCTTCAACTGTTGAAATTTAGGACGCTAGGCATACACTGACGATAACTTGCTCTGCTTTTGCAGTTTACGGACAGCGCTTGAGAAGGGAAGCGCACCGTTCGTGTCTATGTGAACATTGGGGGTATTATTTTGTACAATCCACAGGGACGCATATATTAGACTTCTCAACTTGCAGCGCAAGGCCCGGCAACTTTTTCACTGTGTTATCTCTGAGGCCATACGAAGCCGAGCCGGTGAAGTTAGTGACCGTGCACTTTTGATCTACGTGTTGTTCTGCTGTCATTTCATATGTGTAAGCTGGACAGCTCACTCTGAAATATGATCATGGACTCGACATCAGAGACGAGTATGTGCATGATGTGTACACAGGTGTCATGACTTTGCAATCTCTTACAGCTACAAGTAACGTCTGCTCAATCAAGTCCCATCCAGTCATCATGATGATCCTACGTTCGAGAAATGCGAGAGAAAACCGGGCTGTATGCGCGATTCAGTTTGTCCTGTATAAGAAGAGACCCTGTTTTCAGAGGTCAAATGACTTTGCAATGTACTTCACATAGCTTCCATCCACTTTGCTAGGTCTTATCTGAAGGGAACTACTCAGAAATCCAGAAGGAGAATATATTGACATTTCTCAACCTGCAAAAGTGGAAATTTGCTACTTGACAAGAAGGCTCTGTCGTGTTTAATGGACGATCAATCTCATGATATTCTCTAACAGACAGGGTTGTGTACTCTATCCCTATCGTTGTTCTTGCAGACTAAAAGCTATTAGTTGGTTGTCAAGAAAGAAAAAAAGAAAATCTCTCTGGAACATGCTCTTCAGCAAACTTGATGACATTTCTGCCAGAACACTCATCCTTCCCAAAACCTATTTCTGTAATCAGTGTGCTACACAGTACGTGCATTACTGGAACTATTTGGACCACTAGCTTCGGATTAATCAGCGCAAAGGTTTTCTGCACCGACTTGCTGTATAGGTGTTGAGCCTATGGCAAAGGTTCTGGACTTGAACCAAGACATAAGTAAGGAGAACCTGATAGACATGCATGTCGAAGATATTCTGAACAAGGCTCTATAATAATCTGGTGCTATGGAGGCTGCAAAGGATCTAGAGGTTGAATGCAGATCATTGGCATTCAATTAGGATTCGCCTACCAATTCACCAAGTCAACAGTTCGGAACGCTCTGTCACCAAGAGGCTTATCGCCACCTTCGGCGTGACAAGCCGCTCGAGGGTACTATTCGGTTGAGAGCAAAGGGGAAAACCAGGTGGCCAAGAGGAGAAAAAGCTCTGCCACTTTGTTTCTCGGAACGTTTAGAAATTGCAGTGAAGTAGGATTCTATTTTTTCTTTCACTCAGTTCAGGGCGATGATCTTGAGCGACGCATGCTGAGTTCATTTGCGCTGCTTCTAGCGGGGACGTAGAAGGCGAGAACGAAAAGAATGAGTAGAATCAACAAAGACGGGATGCGCGGCCACCATAGTCGTGTCAATACCGGGAATCGGGCCGTGCAGATCTAGGCATGAATCATCATCGTCTCGATGCAGTGTAGTGATCTTCTGTTCCTGCTTCACACCATCATGTTGTCCGTCCACGTTGTTAGTGCATCGACATGGTGCACGGGATATGCTTCCGCCTGCGCTTCACCAGTGTGCCAAAATGCAATCCATGTGGATGCCGGACGAAGAACGCGCGACCGTTATTTATCGATGTTACAGTTAAAATTAACATAGCGATAGATAGATCGAAGGCAGCCGACGTCGGCTTGATGAAAACAAGAAAGGCGCGGTTGCGGCGCTTACGAGGTCAAGGAAGACGACCCTAGCATCCAAGAGGCTTATCTGCTCTCCTCACTCTGAACAGTCACCTCACCTCATTTCCCCTCACTTTCATTTCGTCGTCGCTGGCGTCAGCAATACAACATCTAATGTCTTCGTCAATATCATCACCAATACATCCACTCCCTCGACGCATGTCGTCGTACACAAGCAGTCCATCGCCTTCATCATCGGGCCCCTACCTCTCAGTATCATCTGGAAATGCCAGTGCAACCAGACGCATCTCACAGACTTTCCGTTCCTCACCTTTGGCAGGACCTGTTCTTTCTTACTCTAGTCTTTGTGAACTCGAGATATCCTCGTCCACAAACTCGGAGACTCCTACTTCTGGCTCTGGCTCTGGTGAAGACTCGGGCGCTTGCAGTCAAAGCAGCCATGGAGAGAAGGGAGCCTCTCCAAGACTTTCTCAGCGCTCTGCAAGCACAGGCGCTCTTACAACTCTCGGCAATGATAGCCTGCGCCCACCAGGCTGGAAACGTGCATCTCGTAGATCAGTTACGTTCGCTAGCTCAACAGATGCAAGTGCGTAAAATGTTTCATCCTGTTATGGCTTTTGCATACTCCGTGTATGTGGATGTAATCTGACACCACCCGAACTAGAGCGCTTATCCTACCCATCCTCGACATCTTCCAGACAAGATTCTCTGACACTTGCAAGTATCATCTCATTGAGCTTACCAGAAGACAACCATCCTCATGATCGTGGTTCACATCAACAGCGGCAGCCGTTTCCGTGCTATCCACACCAAATTCATTCGCCACATATATCAAGATCGCACACGATCCATTTTCACCCAAGTTCACCTTCAGTACACTCGTTATCTCCGGCCTCATCTATATCTTCGCGGCCGCACTCCCGTCTCTCGTTCTCTCCTTCATTAGCGGAGCAGACGAGTGCTCCGACTTCTTGTTCGATAAGCCACACAGCTTCCGAAAATAGCATGCGTGCTATTGGGTCGACAAATGACATTTTAAGCAAACCTGCTGATAAGGGCGAAGTTGATGAACGAAAAGAAAATCGCTCGAACGATAAGAAGATACATGGTCCGGAAAGTATAAGGGGTGGTCACATAGCCGTACGAAGACATTCCTTACCGCCCACAGAGAAGCACGACTGGCTTACGGCACTTCCAACTCCTGTTTTTTCGCGATCCGCACTCGGCACTCAAGGTATCATAATGCCTGTTTCTGCTCGAGGACAGGGACCAAATGGCGTGGTCCGTCGTAATACGAAGCCTAGGACCGTGAACACAAGTGGGAAGAAAAAGTCGGAGGAAGCAGAGATAAGTTATATGGAAATAAAGAAGGAGCCGAACACGAGAGACAAAGGAACTGCGGGATCGTCATCGAAGCCCAACGGGACGAAACGTCCGGAAGCGAAGACAGACACAAAATCGCGATCAAGAACAACTTCGACCTTAATGAGGGTAATTCGTAGCCTTACCGGACACAAAATTCCACGTCAGGCTCCAATGCCCGCGGAATACGAGGAACCGTCCACGAAGCGAATTGCATATCCAAGCACGGACACAGACAAAGAGTTGGGTGTCAGCCACACTTCCAGTTCTATTCGCTCTTCAACCTCTGTATCGGACACCATCTCTCAAGGTTCGACGTCTTCGACAATCTGCCAACCGCCAGGTCCGGTTATACATTCGAAAGCAGAAGATTCAGACAATAAGCACAAGCTCAAAAAACCGGCTTCGTTCATCAATGTTTTCCGGCGCCTTCCTTTCTCTTTGCAACCCATGTACCGGAAGGAAGTTGTTCAACCGACTACAGAACCTTCTCATGTTATCGCAAGGGATGACAGGCGTACTTGAAACAATTATCGCCTGTAGTATCTTTCGGATTCTCGCGTTCCGAACAGCGGTCGAGCGAAAGGGCTCGTTTCTCTGTGAACTGAAGACGCACTTCGAACGTGGGCCCTACTAATTAAAGAAGCCGGGGTATCCTAGCCCGGGATAGTAAACGGGACTCCCGTCGTAAACTCTTTCGTTTTCTTGTATTCATTATTAGACCGGTGTGTTATACTTATTCAGTATTTCCTTGACATCGTGGAAATTTTCGTTTCATCCAATGTTGTAATCTTTAATTCTTTGAATTGTGTTCCGACATGGATCTTTTGGAGGACATTTTATCGTATGTGGACCCATTTAGGAAAAAGGTACAAACTAGAACCTCAGGATAGGTGTATTTCTTCAATGTACTGTTGATACGTTTGCTCGTATTAGGTAACTGGTAATTTAGTACAACATGCGAGCAGTGGTTGTGCAACCACTAACAATATTTCGACAAACCTACCAATTTACTCCGCACCTTGATTTAGCAAAGGGGTTTAGAATTGTCTCGGTGACTAATACAACTCTCAAGAACTCTAGTACCCTAGTGAATTATATTGTTGTATTGTATCTATATCAATGTATGTCTAGTCGAGCACCTTCTAATTCTGACAGTGCTTGCCAAATGTGTCTGGACGATTACTCTATAGGAGGAGTTGTACTGCCCCACCTATCTAGCTTATGTGACAGTTCTATGTACATAAGATGATCATCGCTTCTCCAATCAGTGACAATCGTTGTTCCTCCAAGAGTGGTTGCTATAGTTCCACGATTCAGTTATATCTCCTATCACAAACAAATGTGTTGGGTGCTTACTCTTGGCCCGCTTCAGATTGGTCCCCTCCTGTTTATAAACCTGTATCTTCTTTATGAAGGGGTGATCTGCATCCATGAGCATTTATCAGTTGTATACTAGCATAATCACTAAACAAACGAGGCGGCCAACCGTCATAAATGAACTTTTTAGTGAACTGGTCGGGATGATCCTTGACAGTGTATTCAGCGACGAACTCTTCTTTCTCCGCCATGTTACTGTGCTAAGCTGGGGGAAAGTGTGCGGGTAACTGTCAAAGTCAGATTACGATAGCCTTTTAACATCCCTGCAGAGGGTTAGAGGGCAACGAGATCAACGCAAAGTTGCATTCAATTGAGCAATCGAAATAATGATTCTAATCCAAATAACAATTGGTCTCGGACCCTTCCGGCATCCCATTTGACCTATACTGGCTTTAGAAAGGGACTTCGCACTTTGCAGAATTCCGCCACATCTGCCCTAACGACAGGGTGTTTACGGTGTACAATAGATTTGGATCACCCTACATAACCAGTTTGCATCTGACGCTTTCCCAAGGACGCAAATATTGTGTCACGTTTTATAGGGTTTGCTGCTGACATCTTACTGTCATTTTCATAAATATTGTCACACGCGCGATTTGTGATTTTCGTCACACTAAGTACACTCAAATACAAAATCTATCATAACTCAACTAATACTTAACCAAATTACATGATCTAAGTTGTAAAAA